ACAAAGAACGCCTAAGTCACACATCTCCGTGGGACAGAGAATGGGGTCTAAGCCGGGAGGAGGGTGGGCTTGGGGTCTGTCCAGTTTGGCATCAGCAAAGGACTCTGAGTATGCAGTTACTTTAGTAGCTCTTACAGCCTTAGAGGGTACATGGCTGCCACTCAGGAAGTGTTAGTTACACAGCGTCAGCAGATCTTTTAGATCTTTACAAGGTAACTGAAGACACTGCTGAAGAGGACTTGGCAAGTTAAGAATGGCCATGGGGCAGGGCGGGGTCTCCCTCTCCTGTTGCTGGGAGCAGCTGCCCAGACCTTGCAACTGCCTGACCCCTTTATGGCTGGATCCTTGCCAAAAGGAAGTAGGCAAAAGGGCCGTGTGCAATTTGAGATCTAGTTTTCAATCTCCTCTGGCTGTCCACCTCCCCACTTCTCTGTGGGCCGCTGGGATATCTTCAGCAACCTCAAAAGCTGCTAGGATTCCCACGCCCTCTAGCAAGCTGGAATTTGCAGAATGGAGCCCTTCACCCCATCCCCCCTCCTCCAGAGAGTTAGACTGACAGGGGCGATGTTTGCTGTGTGTGAGAGACACTAGAGTTAAGTGTTGCTGATGATGTCAATGCTGTGTGTGTGTGTGCGCGCGTGTGCACGCACATACACATGCAAATGTACAGGTGCCCTCAGAGGCCACAAGACAGCACTGGATTCCCTGGAGCTGAAGTTACAGGTAGTTTTAAGTCACTTGGCACAAACGCTAGGAATTGAACACAGGTTCACGGCAAGAGCAAACACGCTTTTTTACCCCTGAGCCATTTCTCTAGCCCACAGATGCCAACATTTTAAATCTGAGGATGACTGACTGACAAGGGAGGCATGAGCGGAATGCTAGGTGTTAGTGTGGCTACGGGGTCCTGGGTACCGACCGACGCAGTAACCACTCAGAGGGAGCTGACGCCTAAACTATTCCCTGGAAACACTATTTACTGACAACCACCAATAATGATGGGGACAATGGGTGACACTTAGGCATCCAGTGCTCAGCTCAGCCCATTTGTGGGGCGTTCTTCCCAATGCCACTTGACAATCCCCCTGGCCTTTACTAGTGGAAAGGACTTGCCCTTACCCTTGAGAAGTGGCATCGCCCAGTGTAGCCCGCCACCTTCCAGTGCACTGCCACCAATACCTTTCTCAATATGCCTGTGAAGGGGAGGCCTCCCTTAGTACCCAGTCTCCTGATTCTGGGGCAGACCATGCCTTAGGAATCCCCAGATGTGCTTTTCAGTGACTGCGGAAAGGATGTCCTAGGGAAATTTCCAGAAGCTCTGCTAGCAAGCCCCACCCACCTTTTCAGACATTTCTTAGGATGTGCATTGGCCAAGCCAAGGTGCCTTCCTGATGTGAGTCCTGGTGACAGTGCCCAGGGGAAACTGAGTCTGCCAGGGGTAATGACTACTCAGTCTGTCAAGTCTCAGGTTCAGGGGTGTTAGGCTGGGCTGGCCTGGGACCAACTTTCTCAGTCACGGGTTGAGAAATGTATACTCGAGAGACCCTGGGGTGGCATCTAGACATCCGGACTGTCTTGGGAAATGCGGAAGGCGCAGGGCTGGCTCTAATAAAGCTGTGGAGCAGAGCGGGGACATGGCTCTGCCCTCTTCTCTGTATGGTCTCAAGCAAGGCCCCTCATTTGATAAAGAAGAGCCTGCACACAGTCCACAGAAAGGGCAGAAATGACGCTAAGTGCTTGTTGGCTTAGCTGTACTCTTCCGGATGCCAGACAAAAACTGGAATTCAGGTTCAGGGTGTGAGGGTCAGGGAGGTGTGAGTCATATGTGTTGAGTTCCAGCAGGCCTGGCCGCTTCCCTTAGGGCCTCATTTCTGTATCTACCTTCCTTCTCCAAGGGTGAGGGTCAACTCCAGGAGGCCACTGGCCTCAGGCCTTTGTCTCAGGCCTGCCCTAAGCAGTCCTATCAGGGCCACCCCGCCCACTACCCACAGGGGGTCTCCCCATGTTCATTGTTGGTCATCTCAGATCCCACTTACCCAACTCATCAGCCTGGGTATGAGCCACTGGCCGCCCACGAAGGAAGCGGCTGTTTTCTGCTTTCTCACTGGCCTCCCCTCCACCTTCTCATGAGCTACGGGTGGGACTGATCCCCACTCAGAAGGCCTTCCGCTCATGCCCCTGCAGCAGCACCGGGCTTCTGCAAAAGGTGCTGTAAGCGGGATATTTACGGAGTGGAGAGTTCAAGAAAGCTCACACACTGTTGCCTGAGCCGTGGGAGCAGGTCTTGGCACAGGCTAAGGGCTTTCTCTGATATCATCTGCAGTCTTGACTGCTGGCAGATGGTCAGTCACTAGGGAAGCAGGAGCACCATCTACAAGATCCCAAGGCTAGCCTTCCCACTCACACCTAGTACCTGGGCCAATGCGGTCTTCAAGTGTTGCTGTGACTCTCTGGATTCGGTTCCAGACAAAGGAGGAAACATTCCCTGGCTGTATCCATAGTCCCAGAAAACTGGACACCCTGACTCGGAAGATAAAGTACTACAAGAGGCCTGATTCATGTGTATCTTCACAGCATCATACTGTCGATTTCTTCATTCACTTGGTATCCCAGGAGGCTTCAGACACATCACCTAAGCTCCCCAAAGCTGGGATTATAGGTATGCAGTACCACACTGGATTGACATTATACATATTGACATTTTTCTGTTGCTAGAATGCTTGATGGCAAAGAGAAGAAAATATAAAATTATAAACAGAAGGAAATACCCTCACACAATGATTTGTGGTGCTGGAGAAATAGCTCAGTACTTAAAAGGACTTGCTGGTCTTACAGTAGACTCAGGCTCAGTTCCCAGCACCCACATAGGTGGCTCACAACTGTAGTGGCATCTTGTTTTGCCAGTGAACTTGCAGTGATGGCCACATCCTAGGGGCAGACGCGATGTGCAGATGTGACCCCTTAAAAGGAAGAGGAGGGGCTGGCTCACTCTCTTGGGTTGTGGTCAGAGCACAACCTGGAGCCAGCCCTTCCTCTAATTGCAGGAGATCCAGCACCCTCTTCTGCATGCATATGCTATACAGACAGACAAGCTGGCAACATGCATAAACACAAATGTAAAGCGATGGTGGTGCATGTCTGAAATCCCTGTACTCAGGATGAGGCAGGCAGGAAGGACAACCTGGCTGTAGAGCGAGGCTGACTCAAAACAAAAGGTTAGGATCACATTGTCTAAGGTACCTTGCTTTTAGTTATGAGAAAATTTCCATGTAACAATTTTAAAGTGTCTTTGCTTGGCTGCCGTCTCTTTCACTGAATGGGTGATCATGTCTGTAATGACCTGTTCTCTGAAGGAGGGTATTCTGGCTGGGTGAGGAATGCCTGGCAGTGTACCACCACAATTAGTGTTTTGGTCTTGGGAGTCAGTTTCATTTTCTTTGGCAGAAGCCCACTCTGGCAGGATCCACGTAGGACTCAATCTTTTTTGCTCACAAATTCTCTTCATCCACTTCCCCAAAGAAATAACCTTTGTCCACTTGGAGCCTGGATCCCCTAGGAGCTATCAACCTTTATCCTAGCCCTAAGGGACAAAGCCCAGGCTCCTGTCTCTCACCAAACAACCATCTGCCCCGGAAGAGTAGGGCACCAGTGCAGTGGTTTCCCAGACTTGAGATTGACTAGTTTGCCATGAGGGAGGCCCAGCCAGACTGCTGGGAAGGCTGACATTTCATCACATTGTCACACATTGAGAAGGTCACTTGGGTAAAGGCCCCGTGACACAGCAGGGCAGCATTAAGATAAGCCACACATGAGTTTACACCTGCCTCTACATAATAGCTTTGAGAACTAGGCAAATTACTGACTCTGAGTCTCGTGGGTTTTTGCTGTTTTGTTTTCATATTCACGAGAATAATTCCTACCCTCCAGGGTTTTGTGGAAACTGAGATAATGAGTTTCTGACTCAGATCACACCCCACCCCATGCGCTCACCCACAGGGAGCAATTTTCTGTCCAATCGTTCCTCATATCCACTTTCTCCTACGAAGTTCCGATGAGCTCATGTTTCCAAGTTTCATCTTCTTGGAGAGAATGTTCTCCAACGCCCATTGTATCAGCCCAGCAGCCTACACACTTTACTGGTCCAGTGCTTGGGACAGATAACACCCAACCAGAAGGCTACTGGGCTCATTCCTGGGGAATACAAAAACAGCTAAAAGCCCTGGCCCTCCCTCCACATGCTCCTGTGTGTCATGGGACGGTCACTTGTTGTCAGCTGGGATTTCCTCTTAAACCAACTCTCCAGGTTGTGACTCTGCCTTCCTTTCTGGTCCCAAATCTCTCCCAAATCTACTTCCTCATGGTACTGGGCCAAACTCATCCGAGGTAAGATGAAAATAATGGAGAAAGGACTGGGTAGAAATTGTGGCTCGGAAACACTCATTAATCCAGTGCTTTCAAACTTCGCTTCTATTGGGGCCTCTGGTAGTTTTTCTTTGAGGCAGAGTCTAGCGTAGCCACAGATAGGTTTAAACCCATGATCCTCATGCCTCCCACATGCTGGGATTACAAGTGTGCTACCACAGTTTTCTTGATAGAACTTCTTTTGCTTTTTTTTGTGTTGGGGATGGAACCTTGGACCTTGCCAACCTAGGCTTGTACACTACCACTGAGCTCTATATATACCCTCAGCAGCCTGACTTGTGAAAAATGTTTAAATCTTTTATGATGACTACAGTTAAATTACAACTTCTAGGCATGGAAACTCAAGGCCCCGTGCATGAGCCTCTCTTGCTCATGGACTTGGATGAGCACAGTCTGTATGGAGTGTGGGTTCAAGGTGACACACCATAGGTATTCCAGGGAGGTGATACAGACCCAGGGCCTGTGATGGTGGAGGACACTGGTCTGCTACCAATTGACCCTTAGAACTGGAATATAGGGCTGTTCCAAGATCACAGACATGTCTCAAAGAGATATGCATTATGACATTAAAAGGCATCTGAATGGTAGGAGACAATGACAGCCACCTCTGGGTGACATCAGATTACAGATACAGAGCTTCGGCATTCTGAGATGGCTAGGTTCTTCGGTCCAACCCTCAACTAAGTATTGAGCCTTTCTTTGCTCAGGCCATGTCCGTGAGAGCCCTTTACTGATGACTCTCTTTAAGTTACTGGTGAGCTGGCTCTACTCCTGGCCATCTCCTAAACAGCTAAAACATAGCAGCTTGGGCACAGGAGGGCATCTACTCCTCTTTGATGAACTTGCTTTTGTTAATGGCATCCTGGGGGCCAAACTGATAACGATAGTATCACCCACGTGAGCCATCCGGGGTTCAAACCCCTGCTGGGCTGTGATGCACCTCGTGACAGCTTCACCCACCAGAGAGCACACTCTACACACTGAAACAGTGGCTATGGCACAGTCCTTCTGTTTGGGCTCGTAAGTGGGGTCCTTACGTAAGTGGGGTCAGACTCGGAACGGGGACACCCAGCTGGAGCGGAACAGACCTGCGTGACACAGATGAAAGGTGGTGGACAGACGCCAGTAGCCATGTCCAGGCCCTCAAGTGAGGCACGGAGCATATACTGAAGGGTTTTATCTATCCTGTAAGCCAAGCCCAGCCAGCGCCTTCCTTCGTACACCTGATCATCGTGCAGCTCCTGAGCCTAATGGTTCCTCTGGTCTACACGGCTTCTGGAGAAGTATCTGAGGCAGTTCCAGAGGTAGGTGCTTGCCAGCCTTGCTTTTCTCCTTGTTCCCATCCAGCAGCATCTCCGGTAGCTTCACACCCTGAGTGGGAGTGGGGGGCGGGGTCACAGGTCCTAGGTTCAGGCCTCAGCGCAGGACACAGGTCCCTGCTGACTGCAGTCTGTCCTGGCACAAAGGTCAATGTCCCTGATGTCTGCCTTTTCTCTTTTCCTAAGCTATCACCCTTTCCTTGATCTGGACAGAGACAGGGGGTCCTTGAAGCCCTGTCACTCTTGCACCAGGAAGTTGATGAGGGCAGTCCTGGGGGAGAGGAAGGCCTTCTTGATGCTTCTTCCCTGCAGCAGCCTGACGCCCAGCTCACTCTGGAGAACAAATTCATGGACCTTGTCCTGGTCCTGGGCAACCTGCTGGGGCACAGAGATCTTGCCACAGGCCTTGTTGTTGATCTGAGAAGGAAAAGAGAAGAGAGGGTTAGGAGAGTCCACAGGGAGGCAGGCTGTGAGGGTGCTCCGACTCCTGTGAGGGTGCTCCGACTCCTGTGAGGGTGCTCCGTCTCCTGAGCCAGGTACTCTTTCTAAATATGGGCTTCCTGTGTTCCATGTGTGGCACAGGTACAATGGGGCCAGGCTTGCTGGTCAGCCTTCATGGATTTGCTGTTTCTCAGCCTCCAGGGTGGATGTGAAGCTGGCTGGCACTTTCCACAACACAAGCTCATTTTGTTTATTGTTTTTTCCGAGACAGGGTGTCTCTGTGTAGCCTTGGCTGCCCTGAAACTCACTCTGTAGACCAGGCTGGCCTTGAACTCACAGAGATCCTCCTGCCTCTGCCTCCCTCGTGCTGGAATTAAAGGCGTGTGCCACCACTGTCTGGCCTCTTTCCTTCTTTTAAGCTTTTCTGTCCCTCTGGGCTTTAAGCTCCATGAGGATAGGAACTCTGCTGCCCCACTGGATTTTTTGGTTTTGTTGAGTAATGTCTTATCACGTATCTAGAGATAGCATCAAACTCACAGTGGTCCTCCAGCCTCCGATTCCCGAGTGCTGAGATCAAAGAGTAAACCACTGTGCCTGGCTTTTGTTTGATTTTGTATCCCTGGAACCTAGCACCATGCCTGGCCTAGAGTGAGGACTGTATGTGGGTGAAGTAAGTCACTTTTTTCTGAGTCTGTAGGAATGGTGTAGCCTCTCATAAGATAATCACATTTGGGTGTAAACAACCCGGTTCCACTCTGCTTGCCATCCGGAGGAGGATCAGGGGAAAGCCTTCCCTGGTCCCTTCACCTTCTGCCGCTGAAGCCATTAGCAGATGTCCCTAGAAATCTGTCTTACAATAAACAAATCATATCTGCACAAAGGGAAACCTACAGGGACCTAGGTTTTGCATAAAAGTTTAAAGGGAACAAAACAAACTATTCTTGCTGGGCCTGGTGGTACAGGCCTATTAATTCCATATTCCTTGGAGGCTGAGGCAAGAGGATCAAAGCTCAAGGCCAGCGTGGGTTTTAGGTCCAGCTTAAGGTCAGTTTGATCAGCTTACTGAGATCCTGTCTTAAAGTAAAAAAATAATAAGAGGGCCGGGAATGCAGCTTAGCAAGACACCACTTGCCTAGAATGCTCTGGGCTCCAGGTTCAACCCCAGAACCTAAAAACAAAATAAAACAAAAACTTGAACCTTGAACTTCCCTCCAACATTACTCCTATATTGAAAGTGGTCAGTTTGCCGAGAGAGAGAGAGAGAGAGAGAGAGAGAGAGAGAGAGAGAGAGAGAAGAATTTATGTAACTTTACTGAAATATGTTTGACAGAGGCATCACATTTTTAAATTTTATTTTATGTGAGTGGGTGGTTTCCCTGCATGTATATACCTGCGCACCACATGCATGCCTGGAGCCAGTGCAGGCTAGAAGAGGGCAGCAGAGCTCCTGGAAATGAGCTCACAGATGGTTGTGAGCTACTACATGGGAGCTGGGAATCGAACTTAGGTCTTCTGGAAGAGTATCCAATGCTCTTAACTACCGAGTCATTTCTCCAGCCCCACAGAGGTATTCTTTGCTGACAGATGTTACCATCTATGTGTCTCCCCGTCCCGCTGCCTTAAACCTACCCAGATGCTAATGAATGCAGCTGGCAGACACTGAAGCCATTGAGGCAGATCTGGCTGGTATTTCCCCTTTCTAGTCCTTCCAGGCCTTAAGAGTTGAAGCTTATATGCTTCTGGGATATAGTGACGGAGCAGAGAAGGGAGTACAGGCCTCTGTGCTGTGGGCTTGGTCAAACGGAAGGGCTGGTTTGGGGGCTTGGTTCGTGGGTCACTGGTAGAAGAGGGATAGTCTGTAGACCACGGTCTAGAGCTGCGGCTGTGGGTGGCACTTACCAGGACGGCCATCTGCACGACTTCAGGCTGCTGAAGGAACTGTGAGTCCACAGTGGGCCAGGCCTGAAGCATCACACCAGCATTCCAGTCATAACTGTCACAGAGCTTGCTTGGCACCAGCGCCAGGCCTGCAACACCAAAGCACAGAAGGTCAGGCCACTCAGCACACACGTCGGTGGGGTGGGGTGGGGGGCGGGGGTCAGGGTGCAAGGCTGTGCCCTTGGCTTACAGCCTTTTGAGAAATCAAGGATGCCGTAACGTGACTTTTTCCATGAGGTTGTGGACTGGCCACTCTGATACTGCCAGTGCCTTCGGTTTTGTTGGCTTGTCTTGGGTTCTTGTGCCAGTATCAGACAGAGATGTCTCATGACTGTTAAAACTTTTTCCTATTTGACACTCTTATGACTGTACGGCTGATCAATGGGGTAGAAATGAAGGCCGCTTAGGGCCTCTTCCCCTGGCTGGTCTGTGACCCCATGTTTCAGCCAGCCTTTCTATAAAAAGCATACAGTGGCGTGAGGATGGATGGACACGGTGCTCTGAAATGAGTGGAAAGGCAAGGCTGCCAGTGTTCTGGAGTTGCCCCTTTGCTGGGGGGAGGGATGCCTTCCTGGGAACTGGGCCCCAAGTGCAGGCTGCGCTCACAGCTTCTCCTGCCATGAGCGCCTTGGTCTTTGCTCTCATTACACATGCTGGCCTCACTGGCTCCCTCTCAGGAATGGACCCTGAGCTTGGGGTAGGCCACATGAAGGTGGTAAGGTTTAAACACTCTCCAGCCTTCTTCTAGAGAGTGCTGGGGCTTCTCCCTTCTGTCTTTTAGGGCTAGGAATGGAGCCCAGGGCCTTAAGAATGCTAAGCATATGCTCTGCCACTAATCTGTACCTGAAGATCCCCCTTTCTTTTTTGAAAAATTATTTATTTCGTATGCATTGGTGTTTTTGCCTTCCTATGCATCTGTTAGGGTGTTGGATCCTGTGGAACAGGAGTCACAGACAGTTGTGAGCCGCCATGTGGTTGCTCAGAATTGAACCCAGATCCTTTGACAGAGTGGTCAGAACTCTTAATGGCTGAGCCATCCCTCCAGTCCCTCCCCATTTTCTTTTTAAAAACACTGTTTTAAACATTTTCCAAAAAGGGTACTTACTGCTTTTATACATACATATACATTACAGTTGTGCTGGCGACAAACCTGGGATTTACATGTGCTGAGTTAAGTGTTTTACCACCGAGCAACACTCGGCTCTTTTGTAATTTGAAAGATAATAATTTTAGTATAGAGTTTTTCCATACTGTGAAATCAGTTCAGGAATTTTCTTTTGGTTTCTTTGAAAGGTTTCATCCTCCCCCACCCCCATTTAACTTTCAAATTTAGCAGTATTCTATTTTGTTTGTCTTATAAAAAATTATCTTCAGAATCACAAAGTAAACTTTTCTAAACCAAGTCTGCTTGCATAAAGAAAGCTTCCTTCCTTATTGATTTGTGGGCTTTCCTTCAAACTATTATTATACTGGGATTGGTTTGTGACCATTGGCTTCAGATATTCAAATTATATGTATATGTAGAAGAAACCAGGGGTCAGAATGTGAATCAACACATACTTCTTCCTTTACTAAAAAAAAAAAAAAAAAAAAGTTCAGGGATGCAGCCGAGTGAAGAAACGTTTGTTAGCATGGACACCGTCCTGAATCTGACACCAGCATTGCAAACACACGTGTGCACACATGCACATACATACACTGTGTATTAGCAATCGCTAGTTTATACCCACCATAAGCTCCCTTCTTCTCACAGACTGGAACTAACAGTCATTAGGTAAGCCTGAGTTGTGGACAAGAAACTGAGTGGCACTGATGCATTCTAGTCCACTGGCCTCTCTGGCACATTCAGTCATTGGAGCTTTTTAAGTTTTCCTATCTGATCCTGGTGACCCTGCGCTGCCAGCTGCTGGCAGGGAAGTGAAGGCTCCTTAGAGCCTGAGTACAGGACGTTGCCCACTCCCTGCCGGTGCCCAGGGTCCTGGCCTGAGCTGCTGTACTTCCCAATGGTCTTAAATGGCATTTTGGCAAATGCAGAAAAGATTCCAACGTCTTCCTTCTCTAAAAGTGAGATGGAGATCACGGAAGACAGACAATCATGTCTTTATTTGCTGAGCTGGTGGGGGCTTGTCCTGTGCCCCAGATGTAGCAGGAAGGGTTCCAAAAACCTCTGTATGGAAGTCATACAGGATGCCTAGTAGATAAAAGGGCCTTGGATGAAAACGCTCTGGATAGAAGCTGTTAGAAATTCTACTGAAAAAAAACAAGGAAGTCAGACTTCCTGATGTAATCAGGGTGCTTATTTATAGGTACCGTGCATCACCAGGCTTTCCCTGGACAGTGTGGTTTGGCCACAGGGGGCGGAGCTCAGGATCCTGCGTATATGCCACTTTGCTCTTTTAAGTAAAAATACCCAACATGCGCATGGCAAATACAACGGCAAAACCAAGGAGACCGGTCAAACAGGGTGAGTCTGAATGCAGGAGATAAGTGCCAATGCTCTGCCATGCAGGGCCATCATGCGGGGCCAGCTGTACGCCTTTCATCCCCACATCTGGAGAGCTGACCTTCTTGCAAAAAACAAAACCAAACCTGTCCCACCCCACGCTGAGCGCAGGCTGCCTGCCAGGCTGCCTTGGTGGGCCACAGTGATTGCTGGGGGCCTGCGGGTGGTGGTCCTGGTTTCTGTGCAGGGCAGTTCTCTCCTGGTGGTACTCCTGGGCCTGTCTTTGCCTGGTCTTTGCTAGCAAATCCCACTGAGTGTGCCAGGAGGGCCTGGGTCTATGCTGACACTACTTACAGAAGCCCTGGCAATTCCAAGAAAATGCACAGGAAGCAAGGCCACTTCACGCTGACCTTTCCCAGAGATTTGATTTTGCTCATATGCTTTTGAAAGAACAACATCCACATTGCATCAGAGGCTGGGGTGTGGCTCTGTGGTAGAGCATGTCCTTAGCATGCACAAAGCTGGACTCAATTTCTAACACCAGAAACTAACAACAAACAAACAAATGTTAAAAATAAAATAAAACAAAAACTATCAGAGGGCCTGGTGGAATGGAGACTCAGTGTCTGGATGAATATTGTGGAAGTGGCTTGGATACCAAAACAGATAAAATCTGAACTTAACTCATGAGTTCACAATGAGGACGGGTCAGGGATGAGTGGATACAAGAGCTTATCTAGCGAGCTTGATGACCTGAGAACCGATGTAAAAACCCCAAACATCTACAGTCCAAGAGCGCTGCTGTGGGAAGGCAGGAGCATCTCTAGTAGCTCTTGGGTCAGTTAACCTAGGTTACACAGTAGTTAATACCTTGTCTCAAAACAGAGTAAAAAGATGGGGACTGACACCCAAAGGTGGTCCTCTGACCTCCACACACATTCATGGCATATTCATGCCCACACCCACAACAAAGCACACACACACACACACACACACACACGCACGCACGCACGCACGCACGCACGCACGCACAGGCTGACAGCGAGTAGCTGAACCCTCAAGGGATGAAGAGCTCTGACCAAGACATTTGCTGAGCTACAAACAATGAGCAATGAGAGGCTTGGGCAAATGCTGGTCAGAAGTAACTACCTAGACAAGGACCCTCTCACATACCTGCCCAGAGCTCTGAGGTTATGTGAGGAGCCATGGGGGCAGCCATCACCAGCAGCGCACACAGAGCATCCTCAAACTCACGGCTATGGAGAACCACTCTCTCGGAGGCTTGCTAGGGAAGAGGAAGGGACACTTACGACTGGGTACAAATAAAGCAGGGGTAAGACAGGCCATGACCGAAGTAGAATCCAGAGGATCAGCAGGTGGGAGAAATATTCTTCATTGCCTCTTTGGTAATGAGGGTCCAAGGATCCCTCGTGGAACCTCATACTCAGTGCTCACAACTGCCCTTCGAGGGCAGGATTTGTACCTCATCTGTCAGAGGAAGAGGCTAAGCCTCAGCAAGGGAGGAAAATCTGCTCTGGGGGCAAGGTCCTCTCCATCCCCCAATTACTGACACATTCTCCCCTTGTCAAGAAAAGCTGGAGTTGCACATAGCAAAGTGAGTGGCACTGAAGACGATGGCTCTCTGCATCAGTGGGAGTGACAGCAGATACAAACATCTACAGTGCCACAAGGCCAGGGCGAAAGCCTGACACATCCACGAAATCAGGCAGTGGGGGATGAAGGTCAGAACACAGAGACAGGCCTAAGCCTGGTCCTGGCTTTGCAGCTGCTCATCCAGACAGGGCATCTAACCTCCTGGGCTTTAGAAAACACGGGAAAGCAAAGGGCTTTAAGCTAGGAGGCAGAAGCAGGAGCATCATCACATGCCAAAGGCAAGCCTGAGCTACATAGTATGACCCTGTCTCAGGCTTTGCTCAGAGGTTAAGAGCACAGGCTGTTCTTCCAGAGGTCCTGAGTTCAATTCCCAACAACCACATGATGGCTCACAACCACCTATAATGAGATCTGATGCCCTCTTCTGGTGTGTAGGCATGTGCAGGCAGAACACTGTAAACATAATAAGTAAATAAATCTTAAAAAAAAAAAAAAAAAAAAAAAAAAAAAAAACACCTTGAAGAAATATGATAGAATTGTGACCATGGGAGAAATGTTCCCAACATTTTCACCCTCCCTCCTCAGCTAAGTGAGATCCAGCTTCTTACCAAGAGGGCACTGCTGAGTCCCATCAGCTGAGAAACTGCAGAATTCAGTGCAAAGTCCTCTGTGAAATGGGTGGTTACCTGTTGGAAAAATTGATTTTATTTATTTATTTATTTTTTTACTCACTTCAGAAATTCTTTTTAGCTTTCCAGAAGAAAATCGAGCAATTAAAAAAAAAAAGAAGGAGGAAGAGGAGAAGAAGCAGCAGCAGCTGCTAAGGGAATATAACAAAAGATGTCTTGAATAATAACCAGATTTCATGAATGCAAAGACTTAAATTCAAAGTCAATGTTGTTTCTGCTGCTTAAGACCACCTTTCTTCCCACATCTGAGACAGTGCGCTTCCCACAACAGAGGCTTAATAGGACAACGCTAGATGCTGGAGCAAGAGGTAGGAGCTGCTGACAAACGCCATAAAGACAACAGTGTGGGTAAAGACATGAGAGGCAGATGATTGCACTTCAGGGTAGGCGCTCACCTAGCAGGAGTGAGGCCTGGACCTAGATTCCTCACACTGGAGAGAGAGAGAAGGAGAGAGAGAGAGAGAGAGAGAGAGAGAGAGAGAGAGAGAGAGAGAGAGAGAGAGAGAGGAGAAATGACACAGCTCTCAGATGCCAAGAGTTCCCTGGTGTTAAAACAACTCGTCAATTATCTGACCTGTGCTCCAGAGAGAACACGTGGTTGCCTGCAGCACTCGGATCCCCAGAGTCACAGAGAATCCAAATAAAGTTGAAGAGATGCCATTACATGAGCATGCTAGACCCAGGGCCCCTCGGTCAGGTCATAAAAACAAACAAACTAACAGAAACCCTGCCATGTCATTAATGTCATCTGAGCTACGGTCCAGGCAAGCAGTGGCCATGGGTGACTTCAAAGGCTTGATTCAGCACCTTTCCCTTCTTAGTTCATGGACTAGAACCCAGGCCTTGGCACACTCTACCACCAACATACACCTACCCCTGAGTCAGCAAGGAAAAAATAAATCAGCCTAAGAATTTGAGTTATCAGATACCCATGAAAAAATAACCTCATATTTGGAGTACAAGGGAGCTCGGATCCCAATCTGTGTTCAGTTCCCCATTAGCTGTAGGATTTTAAGCAAGATACCTGACCTGTCTGGGCCTTAAATTCATCTATAGAATGAGAAGGTATTTTATGGTACTCTCTGTTTCTTTCAACTCTGCATCCCTGATAATAAAATGTACAATGTCTCATTAGAGATTGGTTCTACCTGCAGGTCAAGTCCAGAGACACAGGAAATTGGTGGCTTCCTGAAGTCTAGGTGGAAGAAGGTGACAGGGTGGGAGGGAGCCACCAGGAAGTCTTGGTAAAACAGCCGCAGCAGTGACAGCGGTTAACTGAGGCAGCAGGTCACCTCCCGAAGAAAGAAGGCCACTGTGGCCCTCTGGGTGTGAAGCTGTATAGGCCTCGGGGCAGAGTTTCCCTCAGAGTGAGAAGTGTGCATCCTGACCTGAGTTATGACTGAGTTTTTGTACTCCCAGAGGTTTCGGGCCTTGATTTTCTCCTTGTTGTTCAACAGCTGAGGTTGGGGGACTGGCCCAGAAGTCCTTGCCTCGATGAATCGCGTCGTCAGGGACCACAGCCGCTGTTGCCACCTCAGCACTCCGGGGAGTGCGTCAGCTGCATTTTGTGGCAATCGAGAAGAAGAAGAAATGAGAAAGGCCCCACGTCCCCCCTTACCCCTTCGGTATCCCTGATAATCTGAGCATGGGCAGCAGCAGTAGCCACCTACCCTGGAATGGGCATCAGCACACCGCCTCCTGGGCCCACAAGCTTTCTCTGACAGATACGCCTTGGGGCCAAAGGGTGCTTAAGGTAACTACTGAAGCTGAGGTCTCATGGGAACAGGTAACAGTGGCAGTGGCCACACAACATGCTTGGGAACAGCCTTGGGGCACACAGTGTGAGGTCAGCTAATAACCCCTCAGCTTGCCAGGTGTGTGTGTGTGTGTGTGTGTGTGTGTGTGTGTGTGTATTCCAAACATGTTTACCAAGTCTAGGGGTTAGACAGTGGTTGTTCTGACCCACTTGGTGGTCCTGGGTCATATAGCTGACCAAATAAGCGTGGGTGCAGATGCCTGAACCCCACATTCCCAGGGGTGGGAATTCTTAACAGCGGGGGCACAGCAGGGACAGCCAGAGGCTGTGGGACTTCCCGTGTAGAAAGGAGAAAGCTGAGCTAGTGCCTACACTGCTTTGCATGGTTAGGGCTGGCATCTGTCAGCACCGTCCAGACCCACCGCCCTAAGACACAGTGAGATAAACCAGCCAAGCCCGAGATAAAACACACTCTTTATAACACAGGCACTGGCTTTCACTTCCCACACCCACTCAAGGGCAAAAAACGAAAGCTTCAGAAGGACAAATCTCCTGAGGAGAAGGGATGCTAGCAGGGAGTGGCTGAAAGGCTGCACCTGATCCCAGGACCCAGGCAGCATCCTGGTGAGGGAGGTGGACTCTGTTCTAGAAAGAAACAAGAAAAAACCTGCAGGAAATGCAGGAAGAAGGCTTGCCTCTTTGTGGCACAGCAGGCCCAGGTAAGCACGGGTGCTTGGTCGTCAAGGAAACAGTTGTGTAGAGACCTCGCATTATAATCAGTACAGAGCCTGCAATGGGCCCCAGTGCCAGCAAGTGTAGGGTGAGGACTGGGAACGTGCATGTGCAACGGGAATCTCTCCCATCCACCCCCCACTAAGGGACCCAAGGCTCCTGAACAAAGGGGAGCTAGGGTCTTGGTGTAGGACACAAGGCTGGGCATGATGACCTCTAGAATTCTCCTCTACTGTTTCCAGCAAGACATCCCCTTCCCCAGTTCTTCCAGAGACCGGGGCAGGCTGCAGAGGGAGCAGACTTACTCTTTACATCCCACAAGATGTCCTTCTCAGGGGGGGCTGCGAAGAGGATGTAGAGCCGGATTGTGTCAATCCCGTACTGTGCCACAATCTCCTCAGGGTCCACACCGTTGTGTTTGGATTTGCTCATCTTCTCCCATGTCACCTCTAACCTCCCTTTTGTTTTTGCACAGACAGGGGCAGGACCTAGAGGCCAAAAGAATACTTAGGAACAACGCACAATTCTGAGTGGGTCCTTAACGGGGGGGTGGGGGGGGGCAGCTGCTCGAAGAGGCCAAGGAAGCTGGCAGGGTGGAGGTTCCATATTCTGAGCTGTGCTTTATGGGAAAGGGTCCTGGAAGACCGATCCTATGTTCTGAGTCTGAGGTTCTGTCCAGCAATGTGAGGTCAAATAAGGCTGGTCAAAGGGGCAATTCCCAAGTGAATACTATGTTACACAGGATGGGGCTCAGGAGATAACCAGCCCCAGGAGCAGCCTGCAGAGGCTTGACTAGGATCTGTCTCAGCCTCTGCACCCAGCCAGGACCCAGTAGCAGATGCTGGCTTCTTAAGAGCTCCTGGACCTGGCCTTGGTTCTTACCTGCTCCAGCCAGGTGGGGCCCACCTTACCTGTGAAGTCTACATCCTCCCTCTTTAGACACAGTCCAGATGGAAGGCGGAATGTCTGTCCTTTGATGAGGCCTTGGGCCAGCAGTTTATGGAAAGGCTCCCTGAGGCAGGAACACAGGAAAGAAAGGGGGTCAGTGGGTGGAGCAGCAAGGATACAGGGTATCCAGAAATCAGACCACACACGAAAGCAGGCTCCTTGGCTACAGTGGTCACACTAAGTCGGCAGCACCAGGGTTAATTAAGCTGGGGCCCACTTTCCAGATGTGAAGTGGGAAGGGCACTGGCCTCGGGCTACGCGGCCTATGAGCCACGAAAGCTACCTAATTGCTCTGGGTGTCATTTCCTGCTGCCCACCAGTCCAGATGTAGAATGTTGTGGAATATTCCTTTACACTGAGTCACTGTGATTGGTTTAAGAAAGAGCTGAATGGCTATTAGCTAGGCAGAAGAATTAGGCAGGACTTCTGGGGACAGAGAGCTCTGGGGCAAAGAAATGAGGTGTCACCAGCTGGACAGAGAGGGAGCAAGACATGCAGGAGAGGTAAAAGCCACGAGTCACGTAGCAACAGGTGGGTGAATAGACATGGGTTAGTTTAAGCTATAAGAACTAGTTAGGAACAAGCCTAAGCTAAGGCCAAACTTTCATAATTAAGTCTTCATGTCGTTATTTGGGAGCTGGCAGTCCCCCCAAAAACCAAAATCCTACTATAGATTATTATTTGTCCATTCATGATCTCATTTTAAAAACAAAACAAAATGGAAACACAGGTTAATCCCACAGGATCAGCTATTTTATGTTCAAGGTCATATGAGTTAGGTGAGTAGTGATCCGAGTAAGTCTCACAAGGGTCCCCCTGTCCAACTGATGTGGGTGGGCGATCACAAAGAAGAGTACATTTTCTAGAACATTCAAGAGGGCAGACCAGGCGGTCAAGAGACTGAGAGAGACGAGGACCAGGAACAAAAGACTCCTGACCTTTGTGTATGTCAATTCCATACTGCACCACAGTCTCCTCAAGGTCCAAATGCTGAATACATGCTCTGCCTGAGATGCAGCCCTTCCTGTTCTAAACTCATTTGATTAGTGTATGACCTTACATGTTTTCCCGGAGGTATACAGAAGCAATGCTGAGACGTGGGGCCCATTTACAAAGGTAGAAAAACAAATCCAGTACAGTTAACATTTAAATAGAAATGCTGAATATCATATTTCTAAGGCCCCGTTCAGCGAATGAGTGTATGTGATGATGTCACAGGGCCAAATGAGCGTGCTACTGTGTCAAGATAGAAGATTCCTCTATGTGTGCACAAACGTGATGAAGCTCAAAAACATCTTAATCATTTTTCATCTGTCTGATTAAAAAAATTGTTTTCAAAGAGTCATTTACTTTGTTTTTTGTGTGTGAAGGGTTTGGCTACATGTATGCATATCCACCACATGCATGCCTGGTGCCCAGCATACAAGGCTACACAGAGAAAGTTTGTCTCGAAAAATCAAATGAACAGATTTACACCCAGCACCCTACAGACGTGTCTAGAGTGACTGGCATTAGTAGCATCGAGACTCAGGGGACCAGACTGCACAGTGGTGACAACAGCTTTAAACTCAGCACTCGGAGGCAGAGACAGCTGGATCTCTGAGTTCAAGGCCAGCCTGGTCTACAGATTAATTTCCTGGACTGCCAGAGCTACACAGAGAAACCCTGTCTCCACGGGGGAGGTGGGAGGCAGGGGCCTGGGCGTATGGCTACATACCTCAACCACGGCTACTCAGAAAGCTGAGACAGGGCAGTCCTGAGTCTGAGGCAAGTTTAGGCTAAACAGCATGGCCTTTTCTGACAGACTTAAAGGCAGCGAGGTGGGACCTCCTTATTTAGTATTATTGGGTTTTTTTTTTGTTGTTGTTGTTGTTTTGTTTTGTTTGTTTTTTCATAAAATCAAGTGAAGACCACTGCCACCTTCTGGGGAATGTGTAATTTGCAATTCACCAGAGAGCCCCTGACCCTGGCTGTTCTACCTAAGACTGTACTCCTCTGCCTTGCCTTTTAAAACCCCTCTCTCCCTCTATCTCTATCTCTCCCTAGGCCTTTCCCTCCCCGTTTCTCCCCTCCCCTCTCCTCTCCCTGTTTAAAGCAAACTGTCAGATGACACTTAGCACTCACACGGAAAGTACATGGGAAGTCCTTGAGAGGGTACAACTTGATGAATCTTCATGACGTAGCCACCCAGCTGTGCCAACATAGACGCGCCAGCAGCACCCAACATGGTCCCACCTCCTGGCCAGCTCGACTACCAGCAGAATCATTTGCTTTTCTGTTTCAAGGCTACTTCAAAGGGTTTCTGAATGAGGGCTGCAGGGCATTCATGCTGGCTCTTTCCCCATAAGAGGCCAGGTGCCCTGTAGAACAGGAATGTTCCAGAAGCAAGGCTCTGATAACGAATGTGTCCCAATTTCTGAAAGTCGTGCTACTAGACCTCTGAAGTCCATCTAGCATAGGGACAATCAAACTTGGCACGGAGAAAGGGGTGGGAGCTGGAGAGATGGCTCAGCAATTAAGAGCACCGTTTGCCCTTCCAGAGGACCCAGGTTCGATTACTGGCATCCACATGGCAGCTCACTGTCTTTAACTCCAGGTCCAGAGGATCCAAGGTCCTCTTCTGGGCTCCAGGGCACTGTGCATGTATAGTGAACAGACATACATGCAGGCAAAACACATACATAGCATTTCTAAAAGGTGACATGGATGCCAATGGCCTGGCTATGGCCCCCCAGGGTCCCCCGAGTCTCAGCAGTACTTCTGCAGATTTCTCTGCACCAATCACACATGCAAATATGAACTTCAGCCAGGAGAGTGAGAGATTCCTGCATGCCTGTGGTGCCTTCTAAGGGGCAGGAACAGAGGGTGGGGTTTGGGTAGAGGTGGTGCTCTGAGCCCGAAAGGCCCTTATTCTGCCTTAGCTTCTCCAGGCCTCTTCAACTGCACCACAGGGGGCTGGGGTGATAACACTGTTTACACTGATCTATAGAGCTGGCCTGCAGGTCAGAATGCAAAGCTAGCCACAGCCATAGAGGCTAGACAGAAGTGGTACACACCTTTAATTCCAGCAGCCACACTAGTTAGCCACAGAAGCTGGGCAGTGGTGGCATACGCCTTTAATCCCAGGACTAGTGAGGTATGTAAGACAGGAAGGAGCTCAGGGTCTCACGTGGCATTCAGTCTCCAGGCATGAAGAGGACAGGATTGCCCCAGCCTTGTTAGAGGTAAGAACTCCCTAGTGGCGGGCTGCTCTGCTTTTCTGATCTTCAGCTTGAACCTCAATATCTGTCTCTGGGTTCTTATTATTTGTGATCCAGGGGGCAGATTATTTTCATATACACTGAAGCATACATAGCCTTGTGTAGGCAGGAAGACAAGTGCTGGAATCATCACCATTTCTAGGTTAGTCCATGGCTCCGCCACTAATTCAGAAATCTAAGTGCAGGAGTAGTTGATTCAGAGTTATTATGGAAAGTGCATCATCTACTCATTCAATACACGTTTTTCTGGGTGCCTTCTATGGCCTTCTATGGCCACTGGGCACTGGGGTGTAATGGTGGAAAGCTAGCTTGTTTGCCACTATTGACCCAAATTGTGCCAGATCCCTCCCAAGCATAAGGAAGGAAAAGAATGTGGCTGTGTTTGAAGTGCCTTCTTCCAAATCCCATCCGATTGCTTTCTGGGCCATCAAGAATGTCCCTTCGCCCCTCCTCTGTTCCAAGAGTTGCCTAAGAAACATACTTCTACTTCCTTATCAACACTGCTCCCCTAACTTAACGATATTTCCAGCCCACTACAGACCCAGCACCCTTGGGATGTCTGTTGGCCTCCTGAGCTTTTTCCTGGGTGCCGTGTTACGTGGTGCCAGTAACTACGGTTACTAGTGAACAGGAAACACTGTTTTGTGTTCAGGCCAGTGACTGACCTGCCAGTTGCCCTCCTCCAAGGAAGCAGCAAGAAAATTCTTGAAGACACCTTTGGTGCCTAGCTCACAATAAGTATTCAGTGCTATTAAGGGGATTCGAACTAAATCAAGCTTGTTTCGATGAGCGAATAAAGTTCCCAGCAGCAGAGGCCGGTCAGTCGGTTGGGACAACGTGAAGGGTGGGACAAACTGAAAGCAAAAGCCAGAGGAAGTGAGAGCAGGTGACAGGGACCCACAGGGTGCTGTGGCTTCTGGTTTGGGGCTGGGCTGGGGCTGCTGAGAGATATGTACCTCACACTGGAGCACAGGTCAGCAGGAGTACCTGTATGCTCACAGGGAATGTCATTTTCTTGCTCTTACAGGACCCTAGAGAAGGCTGCACAGGGGATAAAGGATCAGGACCTCATTCTCCTGGCTCAGGAGGCCACGCCTGCCCGCATAGGGGATAAAGGATCAGGACCCCATTCTCCTGGCTCAGGAGGCCACACCTGCCCCCATAGAGGATAAAGGATCAGGACCTCATTCTCCTGGCTCAGGAGGCCACACCTGCCCCCATAGAGGATAAAGGATCAGGACCCCATTCTCCTGGCTCAGGAGGCCACGCCTGCCCCCATAGAGGATAAAGGATCAGGACCTCATTCTCCTGGCTCAGGAGGCCACACCTGCCCCCATAGAGGATAAAGGATCAGGACCCCATTCTCCTGGCTCAGAAAGCCACACCTGCCCACATAGAGGATAAAGGATCAGGACCTCATTCTCCTGGCTCAGGAGGCCACACCTGCCCACATAGGGGATAAAGGATCAGGACCTCATTCTCCTGGCTCAGGAGGCCACACCTGCCCGCATAGGGGATAAAGGATCAGGACCCCATTCTCCTGGCTCAGGAGGCCACGCCTGCCCCCATAGGGGATTCACACCCTTACTCATTCACTACTGTTTGCACCATGACTGGACAGAGCAGTCTGCAATGAACTGGAGGGGTAACAGTCCAACAGGCCACTAAAGACATGCTCATAAATTAGCACCGCCACCAGGCAGGGGCACTAAGTGACAAATGGGGTGACAGATGGTGCATGGGATACGGAGACGGGAAATGCTGCTGGACTTGTAGCCCCATCTTGTTGGAGATCACCGCACATCACCAAGGCCGTTACTCAGATTCACAATTAGCACAGCATCCCCATGTGTTCATCCACTCTCTTGCTCAACAGAAGGGACTCAGGGACAAACCAGTGTAAGCAACCGCACTGCTCATTAATCTCAGGGGCCGCACAGAGGCTTCTGTAAAAGTGAGGTTCTGAAACTCTAAACTGCCAGGGAGGGCTGGCAAAACCAGCCACCATGTTGGCCCTCTCTGCCCGGTTCTTCTGCCTCAGCCTTCTCCTGCCCCCTCCAACTGCACCGCTGGGGGCAGATTATTTTCGTCCCCATTGAAGCGTAGTCTGTGTTAGCAAGGAGACAAGTGCTGGAATCTTCATTTCCAGGTTAGTCCAGGCTCCTCCACTAATTCAGAAATAACAACACTGACACCTGCTGGGTATTGGGGGCCACCTTTGCCCCACCTCTAAAGGACAGGAAGGAGGAAGACGAAGTGAGCGCAGGAAATCCCAAGCACAGATCAACAGGCTGCATTGGGTGCCATTTCTGTGAAAACTGAAGACCTGCACAGACAGCTGCCTACTCCCCTGCCTGGGCCAGGTGGCTGCTTAAGCAGAACAAGAAAGAAACCACATCGAGGCTGGCCTCACTGAGAATTACCAGAAGCCTCCCTGGGTCTCCTTTTTGAAGACTACACACTGTAAATCATGGCTTTTAAAAAATTATTATGGCCAGGCAGTGGTGGAGCACGCCTTTAATCCCAGTACTCAAGGCAGAGGCAGAGGCAGGCGGATCTCTGTGAGTTCCAGGCCAGCCTGGTCTACAGAGCTAGGTCCAGGACAGCCAGGGCTACACAGGGCTGTTTACCCAGAGAAACCCTGTCTTACAAACCCTGGGCTGGGTGTGGTGGTAAATACCTATAATAACCCCAGCACTGAGAGAGGAAGAACACGTGTCCCAGGCTGTCCTGGACCAGATGGCGAGTTAAAAAACAAAACTAAACAAAACAAAAAACCAAAAACAAACACATACACAAAATTTCCCCGAGACTATGATAGTAACAGGACATAACTCACAGCTAGCAAACCTGTTTTCACAGATACAAAATGCAAAGTAGAAGGAGTTGCATAACTGGAACCACAAGCATTTAAACTAATTATCTGATGGGGCCCAGTGACATTGACATGTTTAGTGTCCTTGACACATCAAAGTCTCTGGGATAAGAAGCAGAAACTGAGTTTCAGCACTCAATTACACCCAGCCCAACTCCAGAGCTGGTGGTATGGGTTAAGGGCAGAGCCTCCAGCTCCCTCATTCTAATGAGGCTTAATTTGTCTGCTCCACAGACAATCTGAAAGCTACAGATACATAACATTGTGTTTGATACAGGTTAATCTCCCTGTCTTCGCCCTGTCAAAGATTTTAAAATAGGGACAGACAGACAAGATGGCTGGCCCTGCCTGTGAGTAAAGACACTTGCCACCAAGGTGACAAGTTCGATCCCTGGGACCTACATGGTGAAAGGTGAGAACCCAACCCCTATAAGTTGTCTTCCGAACCCCATACAAACACTGCGGCAAGCACGCACCTACCCACTCAAGCTAATAAATGCATGTAATAGAAGCACTTTAAATGCGCTCTCACTATGCAGCCTAGAACTCAGTGATTCGCCCGCCTCTGTCCCAAGTGCTGCCGGGTGCCACCACTGCCAGCTAAAAAGTTAGAAGAAAATAAATATGCAGCTGTTGACACAAGATTTCAGCTTAGGACAGGTCCTTAAGAAACACTCTCCTCTGCCAGGTGTGGTGGCACACGCCTTAAACCCTGGTACTTGGGAGGCAGAGGCAGGGGGATCTCTGTGAGTCCGAGGCCAGCCTGGTCTACAGAGTGAGTTTCAGGGCACCCAGGGCTGTTACACAGAGAAACCCTGTCTCGAAACAAACAAAACAACAAAGATACACTCACCTATCCTGTTAATAAATAATAATTAAAAATAATAAATTAGGAAAATAAGTGAACACTTTAATAATCATGACACAGTATGCAGAAAGAGAAAAGAATGGGAAATACCTATACTCCGACAGGGAGAAAAAGCATCAAAATATTCCATTAAATCAAAAAAGAAAAGGACACATGTAACATATGTAATATTTACAACCGAGTGGCCCGGCTGGGCCTGTACGGCGGTGCACGTCTATAACCCCAGCTCTTGGGAGATGGAGGCAGGAAGATCAGTTCAAAGTCATCTTCTATTACGCAGTGTGTTTAAACATAGCCAATCTTTCCCCCTCTCCCCAAAAAGCAGACCATTAAGACACACGTATAAGGGGAAGATAAGCAAAATATCTTTTTGTTCTGGAATAGGAAAAGAAACAAAAGCCCAGGAAACGGATGGAAGGTGGCGGGTGGGAAGGGAGATGTACACTTTCCTGTTCTGCTAGTGGGTACTCAACAGGATGGCCTGGGATCATCCTGCTGCAGCATGCACACAGGAGAGTGTAAATTATTGTCCTAACAGAAAAACCAGTGAAAAGGCCAGGCGCAGTACGAAATGCACTGCTTAAAATGTGTCGCTGAGCTGGCAAAACCAGAACAGAATAAAGAAACAACCAAAAACCACGACCTTCTCCCAAGTCCCCAAACACTCAGGAAGTACATTTAATTAAGCTGGGTCTACTCTGAGGCATCAGTGGACCCGGGTAGGCATGACTCCAGACAGAGCAGGGAGCACAAAGACTGGACCAGCAGCTCTGGAGACAAACACCCTCCAGTACAGCAGGAGCCACTGAAGCCACATGAGAGTTGGGAAGCAGCTCACGGCCGGGTAGCACAGAAATCCATTCAACGTTCCTTCATTGGCCATGGTGACAGAGGAAGGAAACACTTTCCCGAGAATCTACAGACATACTCCTATCTTGTTATGACGGTCCTGGGACTGCATCCTCGCTGCCTCCTTGTATGGTCGCACAACCTCAGGCAGAGAATATGAGGCTGTGAGCTGCTGCCCTCTCCAGCGACAGAGGGAAGCTAACACAGACCGCCTACGCAGACTGCACCAGGAGTTACCATAAACGAGGAACAGAGACATACACGCTTGGCTGAAAACCACTATTTCCCCCAAAGAACAATGAACGATGAGTAAGAGTAGCAAAAGCAGGAACACAAAAGCAGACCACAGTGATCTGAGACGCGGGTGTGTGCTGTCTCCCCACCCCACCTCCTATCAACCCCAGGCAGGGGGGAAGAGCTGGCCCTGCTCGTGCAGGTGTAAGAAGGCCAACCCTGGGGCCCTGGAAGCGGGAGGACCGGCCCTGCCCCTCACTCATCCGTGCAAGGGGCAGACTCACCAGGGAGAGCTCACCTTGTGGTGATGACAAGGGACAACTGGCAGGCTCGCCAACCCTGCCGGCGGCTACCCAGGCTCAGAACCAGAGTTATGGGTTGAGTTGGAACACCCCAGTATCTATCTACCCACTCTGTGATCTGCTGGAGCACGTGAAGGAACTGGTCCTGCAGACCCAAAGCTGCAGGATCCTTCACGACACAGGGCAGCAGCCGGATAGCCAAGGAGGCCTCGAACCAGACCAAGGACTCCTGGCAACGAACACTTACAACTAAAGGCGTACGGACAAAGGGGTTTACTGTGTGGCTCACTACTTCGCACTACGGCTTTCACGATGAGATTCTCCCCCCCCCCTTTTCTTTTCTTTTCTTTTTTTCTTTTTTTTTTAGACTTAAATATTATTGGGGGTTGCAAGGGCAGAAAACGGATATGCAGGGTGGGGAATGGATGGGTTAGAGATGCATGATGTGAAAGACGCAAGAAATAAAAAGGAAGTTAAAAAACAAAACAAAACAAACAAACAAAAAAAAAAAAAAACAAACGCTCACCTGTGCTTCACCATCTTTTGATCATGGCAGAAATGACTAAAGAATCTTGCATAGAACAAGTGCATGACAGCATGTTCTTTCCCACCAATGTACAAATCCACAGGCATCCAGAAGTCGGCCAGTGCTGGGCTGAAAGGACTAGAAGAGGGATAAATGGGCATTTTAAAACCTTCTTTGCCACACTCCATAAGTTAGACTGATTGTAATCTGCATATGCCTTGAAAAGAAGTAATGTCAGAAAAGACAGTGACTTTCTTTGAATATGAGAAAAGCATATGCAGTAAGAGAAAAGAGCCGGTGTTGACTGGATCCATGAGTCATCCATCTACTGACCTCTGTGCATGGTTCATGACACATGCACATTCACACGCACACAATAAATGTAATAAAAATGTAACTTTTGAGTTGGTGTGCACGCCTTTAATCCCAGTACTCAGAGGCAGAGGCTGGTGGATCTCTTGACTCCAAAGCCAGCCTGGTTTATACAGTGAGTTCCAGGACAGCCAATGCTGTCTGAAAAAAACAAAAACCAAAACCAGCCAAAAAACCAACCAAACAAACAAAAACATAAACAAGAACAAAAACAAGAACAAAAGAAAAAAATAGTGGCAACAAGGCATCTCCATAGGATGCTTTAATTTTTATTATGTTTAGACAATAGGAATTTTTTTTTTTAAATTCTCACCAATAGAGGGCCACAGCAGCATTTATAATAGAAACTAGCACGGTAGAAAATGTTCATTTTAAAAAAGAAATTCAGTCGTATTTTTAAAAGTGCTTTGAAATAGCCAGCAAGAGATTAAATATGGCTTACTGAAGGGATGAGACTTCTATAGGGCTGTCGTAAAATATCCCAGTAACTCCCTCATCTTGACCAACAAGGTTTTACCACAGGTCAAGCTTCCTCCTACTGCTAAGGTACACAGAGAGGAAGACTCTCTAGGTGGCTGGCTGCTGCTTTGGGAAAGAGTCATTGTGGCTGGGAACAGACCTCTCTGTTCCCGAGGCAACCCTTTGTTTGAAATCAGCTGAGGGAACTTTTGCTTTGGAGGATCTGTGCTACCTGGTTTCATAATTTCAGAGTTTTGGGCTGGAGGGATGGCTCAGAGGTTAATAGCACTGGCCGCTCTTCCAGAGGTCCTAAGTTCAATTCCCAGCAACCACATGGTGACTCACAACCATCTATAATGAGATCTGGTGCCCTCTTCTGGTGTGCAGGGATACATGCAGACAGAACATGGTATGCATTAATAAATAAATCTTTAAAAAAAAGTTTTCAGAGTTTTCTCCCAATGCCACTTTTCACCTAGCATGCTCTTGGCTGGCTAATTCTAGGACTGGAAGCAGAAACTGCTGGTGGCAGGATAGCATAGATTGCAGATACTACTATGCCAGCATTCTAAGAAAACTGAAAATAAGAAAAATCAATCAATCAATAAATAAATAAAACCACCCAAATCACCAAACAGACTTCCAGCTACAATAGTTTCTTAAAGAAATTCAATGCTGCTGGACATGATGGCATAGACCTTTAATCCCAAAACTTGGAAAGCAGAGGCAGGCTGATCTCTGAGTTCAAGATCAGCGTGGTCTACATAGCAAGTTCTAGGACAGCCAGGACAGTGAGGCCCTGTCTCAAATTAAAAATAAATAAATAAATAAATAAAATAAAAAAAATAAAAGTGAGTAAATAAATTCAACTGCTGTTTCAGGCAAAAGCCAAAGTTGAGGTTGGTATTTATGTCACAAATTTGGGATAAATGAGGTTAAATGTTCAGTTTATGCTGCATTCAGGAGAAGCCTTTTCTGTTCACAGAGGAGCTACGCAGGGGTGAGGATGACCGGGAAGCAGCCTGAGCAGGGAAAGCCTCCTTCAACCTTCTCTATGGCTCCCACGGGACTGCTCTGGAGTTCCCGGTCTCCTTGCATCTGTCTATTTACTCAGGATCCCACTCGTTTCCGAAATGAACGCAAATCATGGAACCACATAATGTGACTTGAGCATCCGCCTAAAAAGAAAAATGCTTCCATGCTGCTAATCCACAATAGGGGGCGCTTTCTTTGCCTGTTTTCAACATAAGATACCGTTCTGTAGAACAGGATCCCTTGAACTTACAGCCTCCTGCCTCAGCCTCCAAGGCCGGAACTGCAGGCATGCACCTCCACGCCCAGAATGGACGCCCTTTATATGTGGACAGTACAGTTCCAGGATATTTCTGCCTGTCAAGGCCCATGAGCAGAGTGTGTTTTCCTGGTTCTGGAATAGCTTTGCTTGGTCACTTACTACTCTCTTTCTGTTTCCGTCTTGTCAAAGAAACAGACAGTTGAAAACTCAAACAGCACTTTAAAAAACAGTGGTCTTAGCCTCAGTTCTTCCTACGTCCCAGGCCGGAATCTTAGCACTTTTTAATTTAATTTTAAGTCAGGGTCTCACTGTGTAGCATCCAGGGGCCTGTATAGTGAGATACCCACCTGTCTGCACCTGTTGCACTGACCACGCCCATTGGGGGTGGGGATAGGGGCGGGTGTGACATGCAGGAATTAGTCTGGGGTCAGGAACCCTGGAGCTCTCTCTTGTTTTGGAGAGCATCTGGAAGCATCCTTTGGGACTGGAACCTGCTGGTGTTCATCTGTCTCTGTTGTAAGTTATTTCTCTCTGAACAAACATCAGCCTATCTGTTTTCCCTGATCCTTATTTTTCATGATAGGCCTGGAACTCACTATGTTGACCAGACTGGCCTTGAACTCACAGATATCCACCTGTGTCTGTCTCCTGAGTGCTGGGATTAAAGACATCTGTGGAATATTCCTTTACACTGTGTGAATATATGTTGCTGTGATTGGTTTAAAAGAGAAGCTGACTGGCCAATAGCTGAACAGGATAAGGTTAGATGGGAGAGCCTAACTGAGGAGGCTGGGAAGAAGAAGAAGAGGAAGGAAAGAATGGAAGGAGTTGCCAGCAGACGAGTAGAGAAGCAAGATGGGCATGCCCTACTGAGAAAAGGTGCCAGGCCACATGGCAAAGCATAGCTATGAAATATGGGTTCACATGAATGTGAGAGTTAGCTAGCAACAACCCTGAGCTATCGGCAGAGCATTTCCAATTAATACAAGCCTCTGTGTGGTTATTTGGGAGCGCTGGTGGAACAGAAACTTCCCTCTACAGACACCACCACACCCGGCCAACCTAGTCACTTTTAGTTCTGCATTGTACTCCTATTTTTATTTATTTCATTTATTATTTTGACGTAGGGTCTTTTGCAGCCTAGGCTGGACTCTGGACTCTTGACTTTCTTGTTCCTGCCTCCTGACTTCTGGGATTATGTGCATGTGCCAACACTTTTGGTTACTTTAATTATTTAAAAATGTGTATATTTGTTATTGATTTCCAGTTCAGGAGACTTATTGACCACGTGTGGGAAGAGTCTAAGCTGTTTAGCCTTCCCAGCAATGTGTCCTGTCTCCCTGCAGTCCATGGCCAGGTATCCCTATGGCCCCTAAGTTCACATCTTCTTCCTTTAGAGTTGGGATTTACCAGGCTGAGTAATCTAAAATAGTAATAATTTAACAAACTCACTTTAAAAAAAGCCTTCTCCTGTGGTGTTAGAGATAGAACCTCAGGCTTTTCCATCCTAGGCAAAGGCTCGGTCCCCGAGCTTCCCCAAGCTAAGAGTCTTGCATGAGGCACACAGTTGACCAACTATATCCACCACTGTGTCTGTGGAACTACTCTGGTCCAGCCATCCATACCCAATTACTTCTAAGAGAAGAAAAGGAGGGCATCAGTACAGAAGTGCACCTGCCCACCTTGTGTTCTAAATGGACTTGTGTACGGGGCATTCTTTCCACAGGCCTTGCTGAGGCTTGAGCTTTGCTGTGATCCAGGTCTCCCCTGAATTCTCCTCCTTCAACTCTCTCTGGGTAGCAGCTACAGATATTCACGATGTGGGTGTTCTCCCTGCCAGCTCAGCTCCTCTCTCTGTCCTCCCAGGCATGTCCCCGGCACCCACCTGGCATATCTAATTCCATCTTGGTTTTGTTTTGTAGAGGATGCAAAGCGCTACCTGCCACACTGTAGGGACATTACCTGTGAGCATTGTGAGGGTCTGTGTATCTGAGGTAGTACCATGCAGAGTCCACAAAGGTGTCCATGGTGTCAGTCTCTCTCCTGGCTGATCTCTTGCACCTGAGAAAAAGAAATTTACCAATTGGCTTTTTTTTTTCTTCTCTATTTCAGTGCAGTTTCCCACCAGCTGTGCTTCTGAGGTGTTGGGCCTCATGCCTCCTAATAGTTCACTTTGAGCAGCCTAAGCTTGAGTGAGGCTGCTCTTGGAGAGCTGGGAGAAGAGGGATACAGTCTCCAAGAGAACAGAGGGACCTTCCAGTCACTAAGCACACAAGAGCTTGAGGCTATTTTCAGTTTAAAAATGAAAAGGGTTGTGTTTGACATCCCATATTTGCTAAGCAGTCTACACTGGCTCTATGATTATCACAGGAGGAATCAGCCTTCCCACTCCCACATCAAGCAGGGCCTCATGCCTGCCTTTTTATAGAAAGCCTGGGCTTGGTGGGGTTTCTCAGGGCAGGAGTTGTCAGAGGAGGAAATCCAGTGTGCCTCCAGAAAGGGGTGCCCATCTCCAGAGTGATTCTCTACAGAGTCCAGGTCTTCATTGGATTGGATACTATTTTTGACCACATACAGTAGCTTGCAAAGTAACTGGAAGATGAAGGCATGTTCTCTTCCTTGCTTAGCCTTCAGAAACACGAAGGAAAACCAGGCACCACTACCCAGAAGCCGTCACGTCCGGCCGGCACCCATCATGCTCACTTCCATTAATGTTTCCTTGGGCTTGAAGACAACTAACTGTCACCACTGACACCAAGCCCTTGATGATGGGCACAAGGTCACCAGGTTGGCCTGGGTTACTAGGCCAAAGGTGCCACAGATGCTATCTCATCAGGTTCCCAGAACAGCAGGGAATTGTAAGACAGACTACCCCAAACCCTACTATGCAGAAGAGTAGTGAGATTTCCAAGAGACAGGCCCGAGGTCTTAGAACTGGAAAGTAAATATAAAAAGAGTCCTCCCAAAGCCACTGTCTGTATCTCTGCTGTCATTGGCTTGGATGCTCACAGCCCTGGAGGCTCACTAAATTCACTCAGAGAGCAAGGTCAACGCTGAGGCCTGGGCTCTGCCCTTTGGAAATTCTGTTCTGTGGTCCTGTTAAGAAGTCACGTTACCACACTAGACTGCAGTGATGTACTGGATGTGAACACTCCTTTGCAAAGACAAGCAGGAAAAAAAATGGCACAATGTCTGTTATTGTTCTGTTTAGTCAGCTGATAATAGCATCATGAAAATCACACTAGAAACACTACACTGATCTTAGAAGAGCCCAATCCCACTACAAAATGAGACAGGAAAGAAGGCTGGTGTGTGTCAGCAAGGTAATAAATGAACACACTGGCTGTCATTCCTGGACCCCATGGTTGGTGCTAAAACCTCCATGGCTATCGCAGGCTCTGCTCTCTGGGAAACCAGAGCAGGCGAGAAACGCCCTTTCTCACTTAGAGGAAGCTCTGTGGAACAGAAATGGCTGGCAGCACAATATCCTGAAAACCTATGGTCTTCCCAACACTGGATCAGGGTTTCAGGGCCCTCCCTCGACAGGGGTTGGGCCAGGTTCTACACTCTTGTCTCAGGGGTTCCAAAACGCTTTTGATATTCCTTTTAGGCTGGCAAGGAAGGCAGCACTTAGCACCCAGTGAGAGGAGGGCCTCCTAGACACCTCCGGGTGCTAGCTGTGGCCCTCACCTTGGGCAGGGACAGTTCACCCACTCCAGAGCTGAGGCCAGTGGGGAGCCTCCTCTGCCCGTGAAGGATGCGATGCTGGGCAGCGTCACGGGCAAGTCTTGCAGCGGCACAGGCACAGGGCCACAGGCTGGGCAGTGGACAATGGGGATCGGTGTGCCCCAGTAACGCTGCCTTGAGATCAGCCAGTCTTTGAGTTTGTCACTTGTCACATCTCCACCCACTCTCAACCCACGGGCTTTCTGAGTCAGGGCTAGAAAGGCATCCTGCCGGGTCATACCTGTGAACTGGAAGAGGAAAGAGACAACTGTAAGAAAATCGCTGCCCCCGCTCGGCGCCCTGTACCACTGCATGAAGGTGTGACTCTCAGAGGGTCTGGTTCTGGGCAAGGACGCGTCAGGACTCTCCCCCTACCCCACCCCCCAGCCCTGGATGCATTTAGCATTTTATAGGTCCTTTCCTCCTTAAGCTAACATTAAAAAAAAAAAAAAAAGTCACAGTTTGCAAACGTACTGCTAGAAAAACAAGTAAGAATTTTGAACCTAAAAGTTCAAGGTTTTTTTTTTTTGTTTCCAATAAAAATGTTTATTTATTTACTCATATAGGTGTTTTATCTTCATGTACGTCTGTGTATCACACTTGTGCCTGGTGCTTAGGGAGGTCAGGAAAGGCGTGATAGGTCCCCTGGAACTAGAGTTGCAGATGGTTGTGAGCTGCCATGTGGGTGCTGGGTATTGAACCTGGGTTCCCTGGGAGGACAGTATTCTCAACTGTTGAGCCATTTCTCCAGCTCTACCCCCACATTTTGAAGATATTAAAACATTTCCGGTGGTCTTGGGAAGCAACACTGGCAGTGGGCCCTGTGTGTGGTGGGCAGGGAGTCCTGCTTTTGCGGCCCTCGCTTTCTGCCATGCCCCGCATGTGGAGAATCACTGCCGGTGTTTAACTACCAGGGAAGAGCTGTACCATATGCATTTTAACGACTCCTTCCTTTCAGACAGAAAATAATCCAGAGAAGAAAAATTCAGTGTTGTATCATAGAGATCAGCCTGTCTATGCCTCCCGAGTGGTGGAATTAAAAGCGTGTGCCACCACCACCCGGCTTCAGCATTATATTTTAAGGCAAGTAAGATGCCACATCTGCCTCAGCTTGAATAGACAAATCATTCCCTGTGCTTAAATACTCCCATTTCATAGACAGCAGGGCTGGGCATTACTAGTTCAAAGGTAGAGTCCTCCCTCTCTTCACTGATGCTCTCCAGAGGTCAAACTAATTGGATGAAGCGAGCCCTAAGACGTGCTAACATTCAGATGTGGGCACCTGGGGATCAGTCCTGTCATGTGCCAGGCCTCAGTGTAACCTGCTCCTGTTTTCAAGGAGCTCACAGTCACAAGACATGGCATAGTAACAGAGTCAGCCATGTTCACCAAAGCAACCCCTCTCACTACAGATGTGAAGAGTTTTCTCAAAGAGTTTATTATAAAGGGGTGGTTCTGCTGTGGGGGAGACATTCCCTAGTCTGTACAACTGACACCATTTAGTTGGATACAAAGCATGACAGCCCTCTTCAAAGCTTGTCTTTTCATGTACCACTATCCTCTGCTCCAAAAGCTCATGAAGGAAAACAGCTTTGCATTACCCTTCTTCGCCCCTCATTGACAGAATTTGGCTGAGTGTTTGGCAAAGAGCTAGGCGACTCAAAGGCTACCTGTAGCTATCTGAAAGCAGACAAAGAGGATAACTAATGCTTGGAGTCCCATCCAAAAGACTCCAGAGAGAGAGCCCCGTTTTGGCCATGGATATCATTTTCTGTACTTCCCAGAGCTGGGGCTCCCTTGTAGACATCCAGGCTTGGCTCTTCCATACCTACAGTAGGCTACACAAATGAGGGCCAAGAAAAAAGGCATTACTATCTTAGGACATGGTTTATGTTTGGAGAGACAAACATGAAGTCAGGTACTGTCTCTCTTTTTAAAGGGGAAAGGCTGGTCTCTATTCTCTTGTGGATGAATGGATGGATGATGGATGGTAGATAGATAGATAGATAGATAGATAGATAGATAGATAGATAGATAGACAGACAGACAGACAAAATGATAGACAGTGTGGTAGTTTGAATGTAATTAGCCTCCATAAGCTCATACAGAATGGCACTATAGGGAGATGTGACCTTGTTGGAGTAGGTATGGTCTTGTTGGAAGAATTTTATCTCTGTGGAGGTGAGCTTTGAGGTGTCTTGCTTAAGCTTTGCTCAGTATCACAGTCAACTTCCTGTTGCCTTCTGATCAAGAGATAGCCAGCACCATATTCCCTGCCATGATGATAATGGACTGATCCTCTGAAAATGTAAGCTGATACCTCAATTAAATGTTTTCCTTTATAAAAGTTGCCATAGTCATGGTGTCTCTTCACAGCAATAAAAACCCTAAGACAAACCTGAAACACCTGAATCTTCATGAACAATAGGACCAGAACCAGAACCAGGCGGACAGCCAGTAGGTGCTTCTCCAGTGAGTCATCACTGGCCAGGTGTGAGACTGACATGCTGAGCCAGCAGATCCCAGATTAGGGCTCATGTTCAAATCTCCCGGAAATTGTAACTACTCCTGACCATTAGGTCGAAATATCTGGGTTAAGATTCAACCATCAGACTGATACTTCATTTGTTTTGTTTCTTGAGACAGGGTATCCCATAGTTCAGGCTGTTTTCAAACTCTACGTAGCTAGAATAGCCTTGAACTCCTAACCTTCCAGCCTCACCACCCAAATGTTAGGATTATAGGTATGCATCACCACACTCTCCTTCCAAGCACCAATATTTGAAAACACTTTCCTGGTGTTACCACTGTGTAGCCAAGTTTAAAAATAAATACTCTAAACCAGTGCCCTCAAGTTTTAATGTGCATACAAATCACACAGGGGTCTTGTGTGACTAGGGTAGGGCTGGGAGTCTACATTCCTAACCCTGAAGTCAGAGTCACTGATCTAGGGACCATGCTTTTAGCAGAAAGGCTCTTAGCCAGCGATTCTCAACAGTGATCCCTGGACCAGCACCAGCAACACCAGCACCATGCAAAAGTGCTGGAAACAACTCTTGGGAAGAGTTAGGATCTCTGGATATGTATTATTGCCAGTCTGTGTTTTAACTAGGCCAGTATGATGCTGATACATATGCTCAAGTTCGAGACTCACCTAAACTACTTCCCACTTTAGCCTCTCACCCCGAAACTGCCTCTTCCACCATGCTTTCTGGTTCAGTACAGCGCAGGTGGGGTTCATACCCTGCCAAATGAACTAAATCAAACAAGAGATAACCTTGAGGTATCTCTTGGAATAAGTCTGAGTGTTTTTTTCTGTTCTGTAAGTGGGTTAAACCTTAGGTGGAAACAGCAGATAACCTGGAACAAGCCGTCATCCTCCCCAGGAAGAGGAGTCAGCACCAGGCACCTCTCCAAGAAGCCAAAGATTCTTTTGTAAGGATCATTATCAAGCAAGATTCTCAATGAAGTCGTTCTAGGGTTGGACTAGATTTCAAACTAAGAAACTTCTAGGTATTAAAGAATAGTGTTTTGTTCTGAGAAACTGAGCGGGGCTCCAAGGCTTCTGGGGAGAGAGAGTGAAATGGCAGGCTGTAAGAGCATGTCTCATCACACCCATCTCTGGGTCTTGACTCACAAGTGAATTCTCAGGCACAGGCCAGGGCACCAACCTCAGCAGATCCACTCAGTCTCTCTGTGCCATCTGGTGAAGTTTCAATGACTTCAGAGTAGGGCAGGCCCAGGGCTTGGGCTATGCTGGTATCCTCTGAGCTGGTGCTGGGGATTCCTGTGCAGAGGAGGGGAAAAAAAAAAAAAAAAAAAAAAAAAAAAAAGACCAAAAACACAAAACATCATCTTAAGTGCTCCAAGCAAAGAAACAGGCAAGACCGATGCATGGTGTCAGCTCCTGGAAGAGAAGCCAGGAAGCCCCACCACCCAGGGGAATGGGACACACACAGCTTTGGGGAGCCTGATACACAAGCACACATGTTCACCATGTTGGGATTATTTCCTTTAGGTCTTTTTCTCTGGTTCTTCTTATTCTTAAAAACATAGCTGCAAGTTTAATAATCTACCACACATGCGACTGGAACTCTACATTACAGGTGTGAGGGGGTCCTCTTGAATCTCCTCGGTGACTTCCTGGGGGAAAGCTGTGCTGACCGCCAGCATTTTAACACCCTAAAAACATCCCTCAAGTCTAGGCGCTGAAGGCCGGAACTGGAGACTGTGCTGTGTCCCTGAGATCAGCAGGACATTCTGAACAGGCGTTTAATTCTTGAGGGATGAGGTGGAGCACAAGGAGGTCATTCACCCAAGGGGCGGGGTGAACAGCCTGCTTTTCTGGCTTCAGCTGTGCACAGAAGCAGTCTTTGGTGGCTGGCACTGTAGGACAGGGTTCTGAACGCGGTACTGCTGCCGGGATGGGTTGTTCTGAGCCCAGCAGCACAGGGAACATTCTACATTATCCTGGCCCCTTCCCAGACCACTTCCTCAGCAGGGACAAACAAAATATCTCCAGATTTGCCAAATGCCTCCTGGTGTTGACACCTCTCTTGTGGGAAACGCTGACGTGCGTGTGGGCACGACCCACCAGTTAAGGGTCACACAAGAAGACTAAAAGCCAGCTCTTCTGCAAAACAGATCCAGAAGAGTGGCCGAAAGTCCAGAAGGCATGTGTGGGATTAACTCTACAGTACGGTGCAAAGCTGTGTTGAGTCCAGTCGAGTTGTGAAGGGAAGCATGAAGTCAAGTGAATGAATGTCAGCAGACTGAAGGGTGAGGTAGGAGAGCAACAGCAAACAGTTCCAACCAGTGTTCACAGGCACAGGGGCAAGATGGTGGTCATTTACCAGACTTTCAATGTCCAGCTTAGGGTGGCTCAGTGACAGCCCGAAGGAGACACAGTGACCACATTTATCTAGCCACGTAAAGAGTATTCTTTAGGCAGGACAGTGATGGCAAACACCTTTAATCCCAACACTTGGGAGGCAGAGGCAGGTTCAAGGCCAGTTTAGTCTACAAAGCAAGATCCAGGACAGAGAAAACCTGTCTCAAAAAAAAAAAAAAAAAAAAAGTACTCTAAAATATGACATAGTCTAACTGTGCAGGTTGGATGGTGAAAATTCTGCTTTATTTCATAGTTGTTTCTGTCCTTAGAAGGCACGAAACAATACTTTAGACAACAGGAAAAAAAAATTCCCATGTTCACCTAAAAACATCTAGATCCTTGGAACTTTAATATTGCATCGGTGATCTAGCCAAAATCTCAAATACCCCTTGTCTGCCCCAAACAGCTATATCAAGATTTTCTTCAGTTTACTCTGGCTGGCTGTTTATAACATCCTACTAATTATAAAATGCATGGTTATAATGGTCAGACGTAACCTGAGCACTCAGTGCCAGCTTTCAGCTTTGACACCTCTTCGAAATACTTCATCAAATCTGAGCTGAGGTCATTTTAGTATGAAATGTCACCTGCTCTGCGTGTTTGCAGCAGCATGGAAAACACAATCTGTCCATCCATCGCCACAAGGGCCTGCTGTCCTGCATGGCTGTGATCCCTACCGGGAATCAGGTAAGAGGAGCACCGTTTGTCCTGAAGGCGGACTTGGGGAAGTGCTGTCTCTGGTACTTATCCTTTGTTCCCTTCCCGTGACAGGACATTAGGTGAGGATTGCCTGTGAATAAGGCTGCCAAGGACATCCAACTTTGATTCTAACTATGCCTCTGCATACTGCTTCATGACTCTTTCTCAAGTAGTTTAGATCAGCATCCTCCACAATGCCAAAACCTAGCCCACATGGATCCAATGTGCCTGGAGCTCCCATCTCTGCACATGCTGGTAATTTTGTGAATTTTATTTTGTCTGGTTTGGTCTTGTGAGGTAGCCTAGGCCGACCTTAAACTCAAGATCCTCCTGACTCAGGCTCCTCAATGCTGAGTCACTAAACCTGGCTTGGATTTTGAAATTAGATTTTTAGTCTGTGTTGTATTATCTCCCATATCATGTACCCAAGTCTTCAGAACTAACTCATGATCCAAGAGCCTAGGCTTTTTAAATACTCAATAGCAACCAGGAAGGCGTAAATTGTTTTATTTATGATTATTAGTGTGTGCATATGTATGTATGTATGCAGGCACATGTGGAGGTTTGGAAGACCTCCTAATCAGGTTCTGGTAACTATACCCAGGTTGGCAGGCTTGAGTGGCAAACACTTTTGCACACTGAGCTGTCTTACCAACCCCCAATATGCTTTCAAATATACAAGGTTTCTTGTTGTTTGCAAGCTTGCTTTTGTTTTACCGTGTTGTACAGGCTTTAAGCTTGTGTTACCAGACAGGAGAGATGGCTCAGCAGTTAAAAGAACTTGTTTTTACAAAGGACCTGTGTTCAGTTCCCAGCACCCACATGATAGCTCACAACCATTTGTAATGCCAGTTCCAGGAGATCTGTTTCCTTCTTCTGACCACCAAGGGTGTAAGGCACATACACAGTACACATACACACATGTGGACAAAATACTCATACACATAAAATACATTAAACAAGAAAAAAGCCAAAACAAAACCTTAAACTTGTGATTGTCCCACCTCATGCTCCTGAATGCTAGGAACTCAGGTGTGTACCACCATGCTCTTGACTATGTAGTCCTTAACTAAAAACAATTACATTGAAGGTAAATGACTGTGGTTGCAGTTAATGGTAGATTGCTTAAGCCCTGGATTTGATCCTCAGCTACAAAGAGAAAGAAAACAAAAAGAGGGCCATGAAGTTTCACTAAGAGGCAAAACCCATCACAGACTCAATGGTATACTCTTCTAAGTGACGGCAAGAACTGTGAGCCCTTTGCCCTTAAACCTATACAAGTTATTAGCATGCATGACGCACAGACAGCCACATACCTATTTTTGAATCTAGAGAACCTTCTAAGTCAGCCTTGGCCATGATGACGATGGGGACCTCCTGCTGGGTGAGCAGGTTCACAGCCATCACTGGTGTGAGGCAATCTGAAAACAAGAGCAGACCCATCAGCTAGACACATCCCAGGGCAGACAAGTGAGAAAAAGCAGCACCACGTCTTCCATGCTGTGTGCTAATTGCCGAGGAGCTAGGCCTTTGAAGGGTATTAGCAGATAATTTACACCAGCGGAAATGAGAAGATTAAACGACCATGGGAGAGAGTCCCGTCCATCCACACGCACAAGCAAAGAAGTAAGGAGGGTGTTCCAGAGCTCCAGATGGAAAAGCCATCTCATTACCACCTTTTACTTTTCAAAATTATCTCCAGCAGTGAGAATAAGAAAACACAAAACCTCCCTGTAGTGAAAAGAGGAGACATGAACTTCTAAAGCAAATGGATGGTAGTGTGGCTAGCAAGCAGAACACAGCAGAGCAGAAAAGCAGGAAAAGAGATTTCCAGACATCCAAAGACAGGACAGCCCCTCCCCATGTACCCTTTTCTTAGGAGATACTGGAGTATGTGTATTGCAAAATGAAGGGCTAAACAAAGAAAGACAGGTGTAGGATCCTGAGACACTATGACCAAGGCAACTTTTAGAGGAGTTTGTTTAGAAGAGTTTGGGCTAATAGTTTGAGATGATGAGTCCATGGCCGTCATGAGTGACTGAGAGCTTATGTACTGATCCACATGCACGAGGCAGAGAAAGAGAGACAGGGAGCTAACTAATAATGGCCTAAGCTTTTGAAACCTCAAAGCCCACCCCACTCCAATGAGGCCACGCCTCCTCATCCTTCCCAAACAGTTCCCCCAACTGGGGACCAAGTGTTCAAATCTTTGGGTACAGAAAATTGACTAAGATAATTCCTCAGCTTATCATGTGAAGGTGCTTTGAATTTATGGCGTCTTCAGCTCAGGGGTTATAACTTTTTAAAACTTATTACCTCATTAGTCATTAAAATTTCTTCACTTTGTGGCCTGAAATGAACTAGGAGAGGAGCAAATGTATGACTTGGATATTATAGTATTTAGCTTTTTAGTATTTACTTTTCAACCATCAACAGTTTCAAGGAATCTCAAATTACTCAAAAAGGTAAAACCTGAGTTCTTCCTTCAAATAGTTGAAATTAATTCTTTCTTCCTTTCTTTCTTTCAGCACAGAAAACAAAACAAAAAGCCCTGAGAGGTTAACCTTCATTGTCAGCTTGCCCGGATCTTAGAATCGCCATAGGTGTATATCTGTAAGGGGTTTCCGGAAAGACTTAACTGAGAGGAGGAAGACCCTCCCCGAATGTGTGTGGCACCCTTACGTGGGCTTGGTGCTGGGGCTGAATAAAAAGGAGAAAGTGAGCTAAGCAGCAGCATTCACCTCTCCCTTACTTCCCGGCGTGAGGAGACACGGTGGCCACAGCAACTCTCATAAAAGAAAGCACTTAGCTGGAGCTTGCTTACAGCCTCAGAGGGTTAGGTCATTATTATCAAGGCAGGAAGCATAACAACAGGGAGCATGGTGGCAGGCAGGCATGATGCTGGAGGAGTATCTGAAAGCTACATCTTGACCTAGACGCAGAGCAGAGGGAGAAAAGAAAGACCCCCCCCCCCGCCCCGTGACTCACTTCCTCCAGCAAGACCACCCTTCCTGACTCTTTCAAACTGTGCCATTTCCTGTGATCAAGCATTCAAATACATGAGCCTATGGGGGTGGGGGGGCATTCTTACTCAAACCACCACACTGACTGGATGCAATGCCTCATATTCCTGTTACCATGATTTCTCTACTCACAAACTTCCCATAAGTTGCTTTTGTCAGAAAAGTAATGAAACCAGAACTGGAACTGGAGGCATGGGCAAAGAGGCCTTAAAAGCACACACAGAATTCTAACTTGTATCTTTTCTTTATTTCAATATATAACAACAAACAACAACAACAACAAAAAAAAAAAAAAAAAAAACAAAACAAAACAAAAAGGTGAAGGAAGGCAAGGGATAAGACCTGCCTTGTGTTGGGTGTCTTCTGTCCTAAGCCCAGAGGGACACACAGTCTCTGACCCAGGAGTCTGGACCCACAGCAGTTCCTAGGAAGGGCGGGTGACTAGAGTTGTCATCCTCACTGCACTCAGGAAAACCACCGAAGCAGAAGTAAATTGTCAGGACACTGTCTCTCCAGTTTATACCATCCAAGACAGTTTGAGGGCCCGATAACTCAGGTGCAAGCCACAGGTTAAAGTTCACAGTGTAAGAAGAAGCACAGGATGAGATTTTTGCAGAGACATTTAGTCCAGAGACCTACTTCTAATCAACAAGGGAGTCCTTTTACCCACTACACTCTATGCCCCTCAACCCTTCCCTGGCCGGCTACAGTTTGTATTTAATCAAAGATGTGTGGTCTCCCCTTTGCCAAGGAAAAGGCCAGGAGTCCCAGTGACAGCGACCACTCAGGGAAACCCAGGACAGCCAACTGAATGTTACCAATGTTTATCCTCATGATTTTTAGTACATTTATTTACTTATGGGGGGGTGAAGACTGGGAGTGTGTGCTACAAACGTGTGTGTGTGTGTGTGTGTGTGTGTGTGTGTGTGTGTGTGTGTATGTGGGGTTATCAAAGGATCTACAGGTGTCTGCTCTGTCCTTCCACCGTGTGGGTCATAAGTGTTATGGTAAAAGCTTTACCCCAGCCCCTGGCATCCATATACTCAAAGAGTCTGGGATGTCATGATGGAGGTTCCACCCAAGCCACCCCCCACCCAGAGATACTCAAGACCACTCCCACAGGGTATTTTAACTGTCCCCCAGAGAACAGACTCCTGGTTTACTGGCCTCTCTTTCCCGTCTTGTCTGGGGTGCTGGAAGGCCACCTGGGAGGGGTGTGTCCATTAAATGTGGGCTTTTTCTAATTCGGTTTGATTTGGTCTGATCTGGATTGCTGTATTGGTGGAGAGGCTTACTGGGGTGTAGAAACTTTTCAATAACTGAACCAAGGTCTTCAGGCTTGATGACAATAGGCACCTTTATCCACTGAGCCATCTTTCCAGCCCTTGTTTTAGTGCAGTTTTATTCACCGGAGGAACTAAACATTTGGGAGATGATTCTCTCCTATCAGAAGAAAGCTTTAAACTAAAACTGAATCAAAAGATAAAGAACCAAGCTTCTGGGAAAGCTATGGATGCAGAAAGGCTGGGACTCAGAGAGACTCAGGACAGGCGACGTAAGGTGGCCAGAGCTGTTTTATCCTCAGGTTTTGAGATAAGGTAAAAATCACAGCCGAGCTGAAGAAGAGAAGGAGAAATGGCAAACACGCGGGAAGTGTACGGCTCTTGTGGGCTGCTGCTATCCAGCTGAAGGAGGTAACTCCAGAAGCCTGTGGTTCACCATGTCACTCACCTCTGCCAGGGACTAGTGCCTTCTGCAAGGGTTCCTTCAGAGAACTGCAGCCATGTAGAAGCCTGTGGTTAGGAGAAATGGCCACATGGGAAATGCCGTAAATGGCCTCAGGGGTGGCTGTGTACGCCGTCAGTTTCTCTCCTGTGTCTTGTCCATCAATCTGGCAGGATGAAACGTGACATTACGTTTTCAGTCCTCCTTCTGAGCTATACGGCTTCCCATTCCATCCCTTCCCTCATTTCCAAACGGGCATGGCAACTTCTGGCCACAGGACCAGGAATGTGTATAAGAAGGGGACGGTTTGGTCAGCCCCCACTCTGCACTCAGCACCAGGCATCCAAGATGAAGGGAGAGAAAGCTTGCTCAGAAAGACACCTTCCTGGTTCTCTTTTTCGCAGGGTAGTGTTGTGGTCAGGTGCAGAGCAGCTGTGCATTCAAAGAGCTCCAAAATGCAAGAGCGACCTATGGGTATGAATGCTGGGTTACCTTTAATGTGAAGTCCAGGTGGCAGCCTACACAATCCCCAATCCAGTGGGCCTGCATGCCCTTTATTCCGTACCACTCTGGAAGGTCTGCCAATGCATCCTGCATGGCCTGGGGGGAAAAGAACAGAAAAGTAGCAGTGCAAAGCGCATGTGAGAACAAGTGGTATGGAACTTGAGGTAGGAAGGGTGGGCACATGCAAGAAAGTTCTGGACATTAGATTCCCTCATTCAAATGCCTCAGCAGAGGTAGCAAAAGACAGCAGAGGCGCTCAATTCACAACTCATCTAAGCAAGATCGACCTGACCTACCTCTGTTCAAGGTTTCATGGAAGAAAGCTAACGGGGGGGGGGGGGGGGGGGGGGGGCTGGAGAGATGGCTCAGAGGTTAAGAGTACTGGCTACTCTTTCCAGAGGTCCTGAGCTCAATTCCCAGCAACCACATGGTGGCTCACACCTTTCTGTAATGCGATCTGGGGCCCTCTTCTGGTGTGCAGAAATACATGCAGGCAGAACACTGTACACATAATAAATAAGCAAATCTTTAAAAAAGAAAGAATTAAGAGAAAGAAGGAAGAGAGGGAGAAAGAGGAGGAAGGAAGGAAGGAAGGAAGGAAGGAAGGAAGGAAGGAAGGAAGCTACCTCATACCATTGCTGAATGTGTTTATAGCGTTCTCTCCTCCAGTCTGGAAGTCAAAAGACATTCACAACTAGCAATGAGCTCAGTCTTTCCCTACCACAGAATATTCCAGTTGACTGGCGACAATTCCCACAGAATTTTGTGTCACCCTTCCCAGCATTGCTGGGCTATACCAACAGAACCCTGTCTTGTGATTATTCCCTCCCCTCCTCCCCCTCCTCCCCCTCCTCTCCTTCTTCCCCCTCCTCTCCCTACTTCTTCTAGTTCTTTTTGTCTGTTTGTCTGTTTGCTTTGATACAGGTTCTTAGCCCAAACTGACTTTGAATTCCCAATCCTCCTGCTTCCTCCAAGTGTTGAGGTGACATGTTAGCAGCCAGTGGTTTTGTTTGGTTTTTCTTCCCATAGTGCATGTCAAGGGTTAGGAAAACTCCTGGTGGAGGTGCTTAGCCTTAAAATATTCAGATGGAAACGAGGCCCAAACACTCAAATAGGAAGAAATGTGAATGTTTTCGCATGCTAATTCTGGAAAGATGCTGGCCTAAAATCTAAGCAAATCTATGAATATTTTTACAAAGTAAAATAATTTTTTTTTTTAAATTGAGCAAATGAAACCAATATCTTGGAGCACCAAATAAGCTCTTTTCAATTCCCTGTATAATAAACTCATTTAGGGCTGGAGAGATGGCTCAGCGGTTAAGAGCTCCGACTGCTCTTCCAGAGGACCTGAGTTCATTTCTCAGCACCCACATGGTGGCTCACAACCATCTATAATGGGCTCTGATACCCTCTTCTGGCATAAAATCATAATACAGATAGTGTACTCATACATAAAATGAATAAATCTTAAAATAAAAAACAAAAAAATAGACAAATAAAAAATTAAACACATTTATTCAAGGCCAACTTTGGATTAGCAGATCTTGAGGGAATGCCTCGCCCAACAACACAGCATATGCTAGAGCAGCAACACCCACTCAGCGTTCCTGTCCACTCTCTTTTTGTGAGGGTGGTCCTGGTCTCATCTCACACCTCTACCCTTGGCAAGCAGTTCCTCTTCCCACCAGGTAAACCACAGGTGTAGAAACTCAGTTGGCTCACAGAATAAAAAATCTGGGGAAACTCCAGGTTTCTAGACTTTTTTTTTTTTTTAAGGGGTATGAAATCCGGAGGAGTCAGGCTTGGTGGAACATACTTACAATCCTAGCACTTGGAAGGCTGAGACAAGATGCTCTAGAGTTCAAGGCCAGCAAAGAGACCCTGTGCCCACGTGCACGTGCGTGCCCACGTGCACGTGCGCGCGCACGCACACGCACACACGCAAGCGCATGCACACAATGTCCACAAAAGAAAAAAAAAAACAAATGAAACAAAACAAACAAACAAACGAAAATAGCTCTCACCTCCCAAGGGAGAAGAGATGGTTTATTCTGGAGTCAGAGAGGAGTGACTGTGGCCCAAGAACACAGATTTAGGATACACCAGACTCCATGTGCCAATGTGTTAAAACTTTGATGAAGTTTTTAGAGTAAGAGAACAAAGAAAGCCAAAAATCAAGGCATTGGTGGGAGCAGAAGGTGGGCAGCTACAGCAAAGTGAGGAAACCTCTACTTTAGGCCACAGACCCAGTTTGAAAGCATTCTTAGCCCTTTGACTGGTTGGAAACTAAGGGTCTGTTTATACATTCCAATGAAAAACCACAGTTCTGTTTATACATTGCCAAGGATTTACCTACTGGCCACAAAGTCAAGTACACAGGGGGCAAGGAATGTCTTCTAAGAGGGCCAAATCGCCCCAAGAAAATGTGGATCTAGATTTGCAACATTGTAACTTCTCCACAGGTCTGAAGTTCTGATCAGTGACTCTGCCTCGTAGATCATTCTCTTCAGCAGCTTCCACTCACAAAATTAAATCTGAGCAAGCTGGCGTCAACGGAAGAAGGCATCTCCCTCTGCCCTGTTCAACCGACTCCCAGGCAGGGCACAATTTGGAAACTATGATTTAATAAGGGCAGTTAGCTAAAACTGCTAATGGGAACGAGACATCTAATACAGCCAAAGCCTGTGTCTCCTGCATGGAAAACCTTCATGTTCCTCCCCTCGTGGGTGAGACCATGAGACCCCACCCACCCACCCACAAGGCTCTGCGGTCTTCTCTCCCACTTTAGCTCTCTTTGTCAGTGGCTGCAATCATGCTTACAACTCACGGTGAACAGCTCTGAAGGGCTGGGCAGGGGTGAACGGAAGAAATATAACACACTACACAACAGCCTTTAATTATACGGGTTCCTGTTTCAGGGTTCTCTTTAGACTCTAGAGCACGAGGGAATGGCAGGGCTCCTGGACATAGCTTTGCTCCTAAAGCTGACTACATGGGCAGCTTTGGGGCAAACACAGAGCTCTATGAAGAGCCCTGTGGCAGACAGCTCTCGGGTCAAGCCAGCGCTCACCGCTCACCCCTCCTCCACCTGGATCGCAGGAGCTGAAAAGCCCATGTCCGCTTCTCTCTCTCTCTCTCTCTCTCTCTCTCTCTCTCTCTCTCTCTCAATGCTAGGGTGGGGTCACGTGACACAAAACATGAATGGGATTCTATTGGGGCAGGCGGTTCTGGGAAAGTTCTTGCTATGCAGATAAATCATTTGCACTGCTCCTGCAGCTTCTGTCTTGAATGGAGATGTGGATTCTGGAGGGGGCTGCAGTAGCCATCTAGCAACCACAAGATCAGTGGCAGGAAGAAAAGGCCAAGAGAAGCACCCAGATGCCAAGTCAGAGCCCTTGTACCAGTTCAGCCCCAGCAACTGGTTCTCATTATGTGGGGAAAGTAACTTCCTACTTGTTTAAACCCCTGTGGTTTAGTGGGGTTTAAACAGCCAGGTTTCTTCGCTAATTCATGACAACTTCTATCATACCAGGTTTTCAAGAATCCTATCTCATTCGATCTCTAAGAACCCGGACCAAAATTTCCAAGCTCCTAGTACTTTTCCCTCGTCTTCTAATGTCTAATGGCCATCTCGGACCCAAAGGACTACCTCCACCCCGGGAGAGTGGTCTAACCCCAAACTTCCCATCAACCCAGGTCTTCCTGGATGCTACCACTGCCTGCATCCTCTCTCCTCATCCAACAGATCACCAAGCTCAGGGGATTCTGCCTCTGCGTACTTTTTTAATCCCCTTCTGCTTCTCCTACCTGAATCTAGATTCTGGGGACTAGTGAGATGGCTCAGCTTCCAGCACCCACCCTCTCTGGGTGGCTTACAACCATCTGTAACTCCAGTTCCATGGGATCCAGAACTTCTCGCATGCACATACCCACAACATACACAGGAGTTTAAAAACTATATAAATCTTTAAAAAAGAAAAAGAACTACACCATGGTTCTGACATTCACTACTTTCTTTACAATATTTTATTATTTCATGCTGTTCCTGTGCTGAAGTCCAGCCCCTAATCACCTCTCCAGACCTACTTCCCACATGGCTCTCATGTTTAACTTGCAATGTTCATCTCTTAGCTCCTCAACGCCCAGTACGCATCTATCTGCTAGGGCCACTCAACATGCACCCCCTACACGGGGTGAGACTGTCCTGAGGGAGTGTCCTCAGAGCACAGGGTTGGCTTTATGGTCTATTCCACTCTTGCAGCCCAAACCCTGAAGCGTCGCTCCCTTCTGGCGTTCTCTTTTGGTCCACATTTCCAGCCAGTTCGTTGCTATAGGTGGTTTCCGCTCTCCTGAAATTCACAATGATCATCTTTTCTTTTCAAGTCCTGTTCATTTATGTAACAAATGCCTTGGTATTATTAACTAACTTCAGTCCCTTGGTCTATGCCTAAACTTATCTTTTTCTTTAAACTAAGAGTCACAGTATCCTGCTTTTAAAAAAAGATGTAGTAATTTTTATTACATGCTGGGTACTGCAGATGATACCCTATAGGGGCACTGGGTCATGCTTGACCCCCTTCTGGATCTATTTTGTTCTAGAAGTTCTGTTTGAGTCTCTCAGAGGCTTACTTTTAATCTTCAGTAATTCTGTTTTTGTCCTCAGTCCTAGGGTGTTATCCATGCTCCCAATCATGGCCTCTGGAGATTCAATGCCTCTCTTAACAAGGCACAATCCAAGGGTTTCCTCGTGCCACACAGCCCTGGGCCTGCTCTGCCCTCCTACCAGAGACACTGCCTGTGCCAGCATCATAGACTCTTCCTCTTCTCCCAATTTTCAGTGCTGACCTCCTAAGAGCCTTTTCAATAAATCTGCACAGGAGTTCAGCAAGAACCAAGAGTTACCATGACAACTCACTATTTCTGCGGAACAGTTAAAAATTCACAGCTGACAGTTTAAAGAACAATGCCTCTGGTGCCAGGTTATTACATTTCCAACTCAAAGCGCAGGCCCGAACACAGGCACTAACCAGGTGGCCTTCCAATATTGCCATTAGAGTTCCATGGCACATCCGGGAGGGGACTGGCGCCCTTCTTTCCAATACGCCATCAGAGTCTCGGGGCTTGGGGAGTGACAGCCCTCTCGGGAGCCTGGTGGGTCTAAGGCTAGCAGAGAGGGCCCACATAGAAACCTACACTGCTAGCTTTGCTTCACACCAGGCACTGACTACTACACTCTTCTGAACCTTTTCCAGATCCATGCCAGGGTCAGCTGCATAAAAGTGAACAAAAAGAAAATGAGGGTCAGTGCAGACGACAACGACAGTCCTTAGAGGGAGGACGATGAGTCTCAGTGCAGACGATAGTCCTTAGAGGGAGGACAGTGGGGAGGACGATGAGTCTCAGTGCAGATGACAGTCCTTAGAGGGAGGACAGTGGGGAGGATGATGAGTCTCAGTGCAGACGACAGTCCTTAGAGGGAGGACACAAGGGTCTGCTGAGCTGCTGGCTTGGCCCAGAGTGTGGTAATCAGAAGTTGCCTAGAACCCTGTGCTTGCTCTGTATATGAGCCCTGCACACAACATGTAACCCGAGTTACCTGCAGATGAGACCCGGACTTTGTCCCAGCATGCAATGCATTGCCTCTGAGACTTAAGTCAAAATAGAAGCACTGGGTGTTACACACATATAGAACTGATGACTTATTCCAGGCCACTATGACTTAGCAAGCAACTCTGCTTCTACTACTGGATTTGTCTTGAATCTCTGAATACAGCAATGAGCCAGAAGGTGCTTGAACCATCAACAGGTCTAACCATTCATCTTACTCGCCAGGAAACTGAGGCCCATAGCAGCCTTCACAGTGGACCACAGGCACAGAAAAGTCACATCTAGAGCTTTGGACTTGGCCCAGCTCATTCCTACCCTGGCCTCACCTCCTGGAGACCAGTCAACTCTTCACTTCTAGGTCACTATAAGCGATGGTACAGAAAAACCAGAACTCGAGCCCTCTGGAGCATCACAAAGACTCGTCCCCTTCTTCTTTTTTGGATGCATAATTACAGAGTTATTGTTGCTTTGTGACAGCGCCTCAAACAATGACCTAGAGTGACCTCCAGATGGCCTTTTGTGTTAAAGCTTGAAGACCCTCGCCCACCACCCTGAATGTGAGCAACACCGAGGCTCTGCCTCCCCTCTCTAAAGGCTCTGCTCAGGCTCCTTCCACAGAGCCACCAGTGTGGTCTACCCATGTACTGGGCATTCCTGAGAGTCTCTTACCGCCACTTACCTTTGCATATGCGGTTGTCTTAATGAACCACTGCCGGAGGTATTTCTTCTCCACCTTGGCTCCAGAACGCCATGAGCAGCCGTATTCATTCACTTGCTCATTGGCCAACACCGTTTGATCCACTGGATCCCAGTTAACCAAGGCCTGTTAGGAGGCAGGAGACAGGAGGGCACAGTGTGCTAAATGTCCCGTGGAGGTGCCCTTGGGGAACAAGGCTGTAATATGACAGTGCATGCCTAAGGGCATCTTTAGGGTGGGCTGCCTGGTCAATGGGCCACTAGCAAGATGTGACAAGGACACATGAAATGCCCTTGCTAGAGAAGACTTGGGGAAGCCTTTGAGCACATGTCTAACTCAACTTTAGGTTTTTCTTGAATGACAGGATGAATATTCAGGATCTGAAATTGTAAAACACTTTGCAAAGGAACAACTGGACTTATTTAAAGTTTAGAAGAATAGGGTTACTGGAGAAGAAATCAATATACTTGCTTCTAATAACAACACTAACTCACTGAGTGATAACCAGATGGCAGTTCTCATGCTAAGTGGCTGTCTAGCTCAGGGTTAGCTTGACACTTGAGCTGCCTCAGTCTCCCAAGAGCTGGCAGTACAGTTGTGTGCCATCACTCTCGGCTTACATGTGACCCTTTAACTCTCACAATCAGCTTTGTGGTAAGAGGACTGGTATCCTCAGAGAATCATATCACAGAGAATGAATATGAGGGGCAGAGGAGCAATCAATACAATACACTAAGGTCTCAGAGACACTGACAAAAAGGGAGGAATTCAGGTCTGTGTTTACAATTTTTAAAGGCTGCAGTTTAAAGTATACAGTATATAGAAAGCAGATGAGTCTTAAGTGAGCAAATTAGTGATTTTTTTTTTAAATGAGTAAACCTGTGCCCACTATCCATGTCAAAATACAGAACATTTTCAGCCCCTCTCGAAAATGCTGTGCTTTCTGCCTTTAACCCTGCATCCCAAGGTGATCATTGAGTCCTACCCCATAGGTTCACCTTTAACCCTGCATCCCAAGGTGATCATTGAGTCTTACCCCATAGATTCGCCTGGCCAGTAGAATACAGTCCTAACTATGAGGAGAACTCTCCAGAGTTCCTGTTAGTCTCTGTCTACACTTATCGCTTGGTGACATTCAGGTGCCTCCTAGTACAAAGCAGGCTCGAAGTACTATACTTATACCTGATTTCAAATACAGTGCTTAGAAATTTAATAGCAGACTATGTGCTTAACATGTGCAATTCCTCAGCACCAAAAAGTATTCCTAATAATTCCCATTAGACAGAGGCAGTGCTAGCCATATGGTTTATAAACCCTTCTTCCTCCCTGTTTACCGTCTGCATACGCCTCAAATCTGGTCTTCGGGCTAACCTGTCTTCTGTGAGGAACTCTAGTGGGCTGTGGGAGGTGCTACTGAAGGCTACAACACTGTCAGCCAGCCTCTGCTGCTTGGTCAGGGGCCCAACACTGCCCTCTAGCCTGTACTAGTGACAAGGGTATCCTCTCAGCAGTGCTAGGAACTTTCCAGCCCTTGGAGGCTCTGCTACAGCCAGCACAGTTAGCCCTTTACTATGGTATCTCCAATGGCTCTGTCAAGATAGGCTGGCACCTGACAGGTTCTGGATGTTCTCCACATCAGCATAAAAATAAGGTTGCAGAGGAGTTAGCTAATCCATGAACTATAATCTGGGTTATGATTTTATAAATGCCAGTAGTATAGTCATCCGAAACTTGAAGCTATGCTGTCTGGAATCAGGTGGAAAGAGGCTCAGGGAACAATTTATTCCCTGTAGCACAGGGTCCCCAAGGTCCTCCCCTCATGAGTATATAGAGATGATCAGGATATTAAGTATTAGGATGTAAAATTTCTAGGTTCATAAACCAAAGAAAGCTGGCCCATCTGTTATTACCGATGACACCAGGGAGGTTGCAGGGAGAGTTTTACTTAGTAGGTAAAAAGAAACACTGTCTTATTTTTGGTATGAACTTGAGGCACATTCATCCTTACCATTATGTGCAAAAGGATTTTCTTTCTTCCTCATGTAAAAGTTATGTTTTTTTTGTTTGTTTGTTTGTTTTGTTTTGGGCTTTTTTTTTTTTTTTTTTTTTTTTTTTGGTGGGGGGATATTTTTGGGACAGGGTCTCACATGTAGCTCTGGCTATCGTGGAACTCATTTTGTAGGTCAGGCTGGTCTCAAACTCACCAAGATCTGCCACCTCTGCATCTCAAGTGTGAGGATTAAAGGTGTGGCCGCCGCACCTGGCTAAAAGTGATGATTCTAAGGTGGAGAGAATTTTTAAAATTTTAAAAGGGTAACTAACATGAACGTACCTCTTTCTGATAGGCCAGTCCAGCTTCGTAGAGTTTGATAAACAGGTATTGAGTCCATTTGTAGTAATCTGGCAAACAGGTAGTGATTTCCTGCCCAAAAAAAAAAAAAAAGAAAGAAAGAAAGAAAGAGGCATAAATACACATTCAGGCCCTGCAAGCATTTCATCATATAATTCACAGTTTTGAGATTCAGTTCTTAAAAGCAATTAAACTTTGCAAAATATTTACCAACCTATTTCCACTAACTCTCAAAGTGAGGGAATAAGCCATCCATTCTGGGAAGAAAGAGATGATGTTACTGGAATGTCTCCCCTACCTTTCCTAGACATGTTCAATGATGAGAGACTCTCAAGTCTTTTGCCTATCACCCAGGACTAACAAGTTACAGTACAGGAAATGGCTATGAACATTTTTTACAAAGTTTCATTTTTACTTTAAATTGTATGTGTGCGGGTGTTGGGGTAGGTGCACATGAGTGCTACTGGTGACAGAGGCCAGAAGAGGCTGCCACAGATGCTACAGATGTCCATGAGATGCCAGATATGGCTGTAGGAAACTGAACTTAGGTCCTTTGGAAGAGCAGCAACTGCTCTTAACTACTGAGCCACATTTCCAATCCAGTTATAAACATATTTGCCAGGATACAAACACATACTGGGGACCAAGAATGTAGCACATCTGAAAAGCAATTATAAACGTCAAGAGTATTTGTTCAGTGTGACGTGATCCTCATTTCAAACTAAATCTTGTGTCATAGAATCTAGGGTCTGATAGTGTCCATAGCCTTATAATTTTCCCTTTATTGTATAATATGAATCAAGCTGTTGTCTACATGGGGAGATTAATCAAAAGTTCCTAAAGTTTATTTTCTGCCTGAAAAACGCATTTAATATAGAATCTTAAAAAGCTGGGGCATGGCTTAGAGGTAGAGTGCTTGCCTGGCCAGGTAGAAAGAGAAAAGGCGGTAACAGGAAAACATGTCTCAAATGGCTCTATCTGTAGCTGGCTTTCAGCGTAAGGTGTACTTTACCCCAAGTGCAGAGCACTTCTGTATTCCCTCAGATAAGCAAATGAGGAATGCTTCAAATACAGGGGGGAGGCAGGTACAGTAGGAAGCAGTAACTGAAAAGGGTAGTTTTCCTTATGTTAGATTCATTTGTTCATTCGTTTTGAGACAACAGGGCCCCATCTACTCTGGGCTAGCCCCAAACTCTGAATTTCTGATCTACCTGCCTCTTCCTCTTGACTGCAGAGATAGATCACAGGCACATGCCACTTACTACACCAGGACTGTGTGCTGCTGGGGTCTAATCCGGGGCTTCATGCATGTTAGGCCAGCGTTCTACCGACTGAGCTTGGTTGTTTTATATGCTGCTTTGTTATTGCTGTTGTTTTCAATAGCAGAGCGCTAACACTAAAAAAAAAAAAAATTTGGGGGTGGTATTGGGGACCAAACCCAGGGACTCGGGCATGCTAACAAGTGCTCTAACACTGAGCTGTATCTCAAGCCCAGAAGACAGTTTTTCAAAAATGCAGAACAGGGGTTGGAGAGAGAGCTCAGCAATTAAGAGAACTGGCTGTTCTTCCAGCTCCTGGGTTCAATTCCCAGCACCCACATGGCAGCTCAGAACTGCTTATAAGTCTCATGGGATCTGATGCCCTTGAGTAATATGCAGACATAAATCCAGACATACATAAAATAAATAAATGAACATTTCAAAGATGCAGAATAACTCAACTCTGACCACCAGTCTCATCTTCCCATGATGAGACATAGTGACAAACCAGCCAATCTAATGGGGGTCCCAAGTAGCCTGGCCCCCACCAACACCTAAGCAACATCCAAGAATCACCACCTCCCAGGGACTCCATAGGCAGCTGGTATACAAGGGTGCCAGGCTGAGGAGCTCTACCAGCCCAAGAACCAGACTAATAGACCTCTCCTTGGCCTGCTAGCACGGCACAGAATTGTTCTTTCTCTTTGGTTTTCTGGTCAAACACCTCTAAAACTCCCATTTTTAACAAACATGTCAGTAGTCATTTTCAGTTTTGTTTTACTCAACATTTTATGCTCTCCAGCACTGAGGTACCCCGAGTTAAAAATAAATGAGACATGTAAAAGTCTGTATACAAAAGCAAATTTGTATACATCACGTAAGTTTTCACGGCTAAATTCTCATTGCATTGTGGTCACAAATGCGCAAAGAAAATATACTGAATTGAAAGCTAACGTGGGTGAGGGTTATGGGAAGTTTTTCTTAGACCTTGCTATTGTAGAAATATCTTTATCCACTACAGTTTTAAAGACATATAGTAAAGCAAATATGAAAAATATGAAACTATGGGGTCCATTAAGACTTTATTTTGTGTGTATTTGAGCTGCTCGTAAAAATATCAAAATCTTTCTAATAAATATGTTATAATATAATGCAATGTGAATTATAATTAATATGCATTATACTGAGAATATTTTATAATGAATATTATATAATACACTCGACGCCCCTGGATCTGCTTCCAGACATAGCAACAGAACAGCATTACCTTCAGCTAGGTTTCTGCTTTTGAAAGTCAGTTTTCCCTACAGTGAAAAGCAAGGGTAGGTGAGTGGAGGGGAGATCTTTATCTAGCCAACCTTTCGCCTATGTTCCTATTGGGCATCAGCGACTCAAGGTCAAAGCGGGGCGGGGAGTCTGGGCCCCCTTTTCCTCCTAACTTCACATTTGGACTTGACCTGTTTTATTTTGTTGCTTCTGCAACTGCCATCTGGCGTGGCTGTGTGGCCAGGCCCAAGGAGGCTGAGCCTGAGCAAAGTCCTGTGTTCTCCATGCTGAACCTTCCTACCTGTGGCAGGCCAGGTCTCTAAGACAGGTAATGTACATTTTGAGAGACACAGAACAAAATGAAAACAGTGAATTCTAGTCTTCTAAAATCATCAAAGGTATTCTTTTTTTTTTTTGAAATTATATCACGTAAAAGCTTTTAGTTTAGCCAGTTGGTTAAAAATCAAAACCCTTTCTTCATGTGTTCACTGTGAACCACAGGCCTTACACCCCTGAAAACGTTAGCCTTCCCTCTGTCTAAGGCAGAGACCTTGCTCCCTGACGATTACCTGACAATGGCTAGAAACAATTCTTTGTCACCACTGAGAGTGCACATGTGTACTCGTGTGTGTGCACAATCGTTCACGTGCACACAGCTTAGGTGCCTACATCTGGTGGGCATCTGTGTTAACACCCTTAAAATACTCAGCTATGCACGGATTGCATTTTCTGTGTTTTGGGACAGACTCTTGTATGTAACTCAAACTAGCGTTATACTCAAGGGAGATCTTCCCACCTCACCCTCCCAACTGTTAGATTACAGGAGGAGGCACCATACATTTGTTTAAGCTTTAAATGCTAATAGGACAATCTTGGTCTAAGGGTTTATATTATTTCATTTTAAGTCTGCAGCCACAGGCAGATCAAAGGAACATTAACCAGGCAACTCTCTAGTGGGCAGTCCCTAAAAAGTAACAAAGGAGATTAAATGTCACCTCCTGGGCCTAGTCCATTTACTTAGTTTCCCTCCACCATCAGATTTGGCCCCTCCACTGAACATGACTAGCAAAGTACCAGCAACCTTGCACCACAGAGACAGGTGTTGTTAGCACAAGTGATGTATTTTAGCATCTAGAATTTAAATAATTTAATATGCCCCCAAGAGGTGGTCTGACTTGGAAAATCTCATTATGTAATAATGTTTCTGTTTTGAAGTCAGAGAGAGAGAGACATATGGGATATATTGGTTTATCCCTCCTGCAAAACAGTTGTCAACGCACAGCAGTGTTTAAAGATCACCCCTTGGAATCTAGCCCATGAACACAAATATCCAGATCTGACCACATCTGCAGGGCCCACTCAGAAACCTTGTATCTGTGGGGTGGGGCTCCCTGCCATCCTCATCTGCCCACAGGCAAGGAAGGCACCAATTCAGTAAGACTTTGGTAAGACCATCAGAAAAAGCAAACAAGGCTGACTGTTCCCAGGTCCCCCAGCATTTCTGTATTTTACTTTTCCCTGCTTTCAAATAAGTTCACACAGCCATAGCGATGGCTCAGCACTTGCTGTGCTGGCAAAGGACTGGTCCCAGCACACATCTGGCAACCCACACCTGTGTGTAAGTCCGGTTCCAAGAGACCTGACACACTCTTCACACATGCATACTGTGCACATGCATGCATACAGGAAGTCACTCATACACAAAGCCCACAGTTGCTTGATGTTACCATTGGTTTCAACACAAATAGTCAGGCGATTCAATGCATAGCTCTGAAAGCTGCTACAATCTGACTCCACATAGATCTCCATCATGGTGTCAGCTTTCATAACCTGTGAGCTCTAGAGAGCCCACCTAGATGTTTATCTGGGAGCTCAGTGAAGTGACTCCTACACATTATAACCTTACACTTTACACTGCCGGGGGTTGGTGTAAAAAAAAAAATATTTCACAGATTTGTACGTAAACACGGAACCCAAGGCAGAAGATATGCTCTCTCAGAACACAAAGAGGCTCAAAGCAACCTCTTGGAAACCAACCATTCCCATCTAATGACCTTGACTAACTTAACCTAACAATTAAGCCAGTTTGGCAATGACTTCTAGCCCAGTGATTTGGCACTGATGATGTCCAGGTGGCTGAGGCACTGAGGTCTGGTTATATCTGTGATACAGAAGAACATTTGCACCATGTGTTAGAGATGCGGCATTGCATTCGGGATCCACCTGGGGCTTCTCTAAACGGTCTCAGAAATATCTAAGTGAGTGTGATGTCAGGAAAGGACATCAGAGGCCCCTCAGCAATCCCTAGGCAGGAGAGGGACAGAGGGTGATTGACAGCTTGGCACAGTCCTGGTTAGGGTCTCAATCAGCTCTTCCTGTGGCTTTTGTCTATACCCTTTTCTTTGTTTCTTTTTCTCTATGGAAAGCTAGGAAGTAGCAGGAGGCTGAGGCAGGAGGACTGAAAGTTTGAGGGCAGCCTAGGTGACTTAGTGAGCTCTAGGCATTCACTGCATACTGTAATGATGAAAAGGGGATGTGGCACAGGAC